AGCTGGGGCACGGATTTCATCAATGGAAGAACTCCTGAGCCTGGGCAGGGATTGCTCCGTCTCTGATCCTCCCTGGGAGGAGGGAGCAGTGCTCCTGTCCGGGATCTGCTCCGATGTCCTGAGGCAGGGGGATCCTCTCCTTACCCAGGGACGCAGCCACGGCTGCTGCTGGCGCGTGCCAGGCTCCTGGTGCCACCAGCAGTGCCACCAGCACGGCAGCAGGGCCACCCACGGCGTGGCTGAAGTTGTCACTTGTGGCGTCTCCAGCTGATTCATTTTTCCCCGTCGCTTTTCCCCGAGGCTGAGTGCAGCCGGTGCTGGGCAGGGGTGGGCACAGGGCACGCTGGGGCGGTGGCCCTGGCCGCGGGCACCGGCCCTGGCAGGACGGAGGTGCCGTGCTGCCGTTTATTATTCCGGGCAGGTTCAGCTGCAGCACCGGCTCCGCCGCTCCCCGCCAGCTCCTCCTGCCTGGAGCCCGCACGCTCCTTCCTCGCCTCACACCGCTCTTCTTCATCCCCTCACCGCTCTTCTTCATCCCCTCACACCGCTCTTCTTCCTCCCCTCACACACTACTCCTTCCTCCCCTAACGCTGCTCTTCTTCCTCCCCTCCCACCCTGCTCCTTCCTCTCCTTACACCCCTCTTCTTCCTCTCCTCACACCGCTCTTCTTCATCCCCTCACACCCCTCTTCTTCTTCTCACACCCTGCTCCTTCATCCCCTCACACCCCTCTTCTTCCTCTCCTCACACCCTGCTCCTTCCTCCCCTAACACTGCTCTTCTTCCTCTCCTCACACCGCTCTTCTTCATCCCCTCACACCCCTCTTCTTCCTCTCCTCACACCCTGCTCCTTCCTCTCCTCACACTGCTCTTCTTCCTTTCCTCACACCGCTTTTCTTCCTTTCCTCACACCCCTTTTCCCCCCCTCACACCCCGCCAGGCTCCAGCCTGGGTCCCCAGCTCAGGGATGGCATTTCGGAGGTGCCAGCTGCTGTCAGCACAGGCAGCTCAGCTCCTCTCCCACCTGGGCTGTTTTCTTCCCTTGTTCCTCTCCAGGGCCTGGGGGCTCTGGGAGTGGATTCCTGGAGTGAGGGACAGGCCCTGCTGGGGCCACTGGAGCTGCTCAGAGCGATGGCTCTGACCCGGCTGGATCCTTCCCAGGATCCCACACCTCGGTCCCAGCTGGGATTGAAGGGTGGGACCCAGGGATGGGGCTGGGTTCCTCCTTTCCCCCGAGAGCAGAACAAATTCCAGGCTGGAATCTCACAGTGGGACACAGGGATGGGGCTGGGTCCCTCCTTTCCCCCGAGAGCAGAGGGAATTCCAGGCTGGAATCTCACAGTGGGACCCTGGGGTGGGGCTGGGTCCCTCCTTTCCCCCGAGAGCAGAGGGAACTCCAGGCTGGAATCTTGCAATGGGACACAGGGATGGGGCTGGGTTCCTCCTTTCCCCCGAGAGCAGAACAAATTCCAGGCTGGAATCTCGCAGTGGGACACAGGGATGGTGCTGATCGCTGCCCCCTGAGCTCTGTCAGGGGTAATTAAGGGCTAGGCCGTTACAGTATTAATTAACTGTCTCCCTGTTAACCTCTGAGCGCTCCTCAGACAGCGCCGTTGCTATGAAAGAGGAGGAAATGAGCGTGGTGGGGTGGGGGAATTAGCGTTTTTTCTCTTAATCAGCAGGAGCCTGCTTAATTGGGCCTGCCACCTCCTGCTTCCCGCTGCTGGGAGCTGCTGCCTTGCAGGGATGGATGAGCTCAGCTCCACCGGGAGCCATGGGATAACGGGCTGGGGATGGGCAGGGATCCCTGCTGGACGGGGCAGCAGCACCGCTCCGGCCCGAGGAGCCTGGGTGTCCCAGAGCTGCAGTGTCACCGTCCCTGTGTCCTATCCCTGTGTCCCTGTTCCTGTGTTCTATCCCTGTGTCCCCATCCCTGTGTCCCTGTTCCTGTGTCACATCCCTGTGTCCTTCCATCCCTGTGTCCCCTATCCCTCTGTCCTATCCCTGTGTCCAGTCTGTGTTCTTTCATCCCTGTGTGCCATCCCTGTGTCCTGTCCCTGTGTCCAGTCTCTGTGTCCTTCCATCCCTGTGTCCTTCCATCCCTGTGTCCCCATCCCTTGTCCCCATCCCTGTGTCCCCATCCCTGTGTCCCCATCCCTGTGTCCCATCCCTGTGTCCTTCCATCCTTGTGTCCTTCCATCCCTGTGTCCTTCCATCCCTGTGTCCTATCTCTGTGTCCCATCTCAGTGTCCTATCCCTGTGTCCAATCCCTGTGTCCTTTCATCCCTGTGTCCTTCCATCCCCATGTTGTCCATCCCTGTCCTCCCCTCCCCATTTTCCCCATCCCCATCTTCACCATCCCCAGGTTTCCCATCCCCATTTTCCCTATTCCTGCGTCCCCCATCCCCATTCACCCAATCCCTCTGTCCCCATCCCTGTGTCCCCATCCCTGTGTCCCATCCCTGTGTCCTTCCATCCTTGTGTCCTTCCATCCCTGTGTCCTTCCATCCCTGTGTCCCCTATCCCTCTGTCCTATCCCTGTGTCCAGTCTGTGTTCTTTCATCCCTGTGTGCCATCCCTGTGTCCTGTCCCTGTGTCCAGTCTCTGTGTCCTTCCATCCCTGTGTCCTTCCATCCCTGTGTCCCCATCCCTGTGTCCCATCCCAGTGTCCCCACCCTGGTGTCCCCCCATCCTGCCCCGCTCCCCCCTCCTGCAGCTGGGGCACAGGTCCCTCCCGAGGTGGGGCCATTCTGGTGTCACTGCTGTCCCCGGGGTGCAGTTGGTGCCTGTGGTGCCCTGATAGTGCCGGGAGCTGCCCTGGGGGTGCTGCTGCCGGGATAAGGAGGGCCAGGAGGGAGGGTCGGCTTCTTTGGGGTTGTGCTGCCCCAGAGATTGGAAAGTGCCTGGGGCTGGGGCTGGAATTGGGGCAGTTTGGGACAGCCCTGGGGCTGGATTTGGGGCGGTTTGGGATGGGGCAGTTTGGGGCAGTCCTGGTGCTGGAATTGGGGCAGTTTGGGACAGCTCTGGGGCTGGAATGGGGCAGTTTAGGATGGGGCAGTTTGGGGCAGTCCTAGGGCTGGAATTGGGGCAGTTTGGGGCAGTCCTGGTGCTGGAATTGGGGCAGTTTGGGACAGCCCTGGGGCTGGAATTGGGGCGGTTTGGGATGGGGCAGCCCTGGTGCTGGAATTGGGGCTGTTCATGACAGCCCTGGGGCTGGAATTGGGGCAGTTTGGGATGGGGCAGCCCTGGGGCTGGAATTGGGGCTGTTCATGGCAGCCCTGGGCTGGGAATTGGGGCAGTTGTGGATGTGGGGCAGCCCTGGGGCTGGAATTGGGGCTGTTCATGGCAGCCCTGGGGCTGGAATTGGGGCTGTTCATGGCAGCCCTGGGGCTGGAATTGGGGCTGTTCATGGCAGCCCTGGGGCTGGAATTGGGGCTGTTCATGGCAGCCCTGGGGCTGGAATTGGGGCTGTTCATGGCAGCCCTGTGCTGATTTGGTGCCTCTCTGTGGGCTTGGTGAGGGCTGGTGCCTCCCGTGTGTACCGGGATCAGCCGTGGACATTCTCCCTCCTCCCTCCTGTCCCCCCCTGTCCCTCCCCAGCCTGCTCTGCTGCCCCTGGGCCCCTTCTGGGTTGGATGCCACCAGAGCAGCCGTTCCCTTGTCGATCTTTATTTATTTTGCCCTCAGAAAGATTTTATTTTCTCTCCATGAGAGCCTCCCCTCGCAGCCTTTTTGCCTCTGGAGTGCCGGGAGCGTCCCTGGAGCTTGGGAGCACAGCTAACCCTGGCTGACAAAAATCCCTTTTTCCCTCTGGCCTGTGCTGTTCCCTCCATGTCCCTATTTGTCCCTAGAGCTCCGAGATGCCAGCAGGGAATCCCAGCCCCCAAATCCCTGAGGAATGGGGGGGCTGTGGGGTGCTCGTGGTCCCTGCCTGGCTCGGTTGAAGTGTTTTTGGGGCTCCGCTGTCCTCGCTGGGGGGTTGTGACCGGGGTGGCAGCTCTTAGGGACACTGAGAGCCACTCGGTGCCCTCAGGGAGCCACCTCGGAACAGGTCATGACAGAAAAGCCTCAATTTCCGATAAAATCCCAGGTTTTGGTGGCTTCTCTGCCACTTCCCTCTTCTCTTTCGTGGTTCCTGTGGCATGTCCCAGCTGATGTGGGGCCATGGGGTGCTGCAGCCCCTTTCCCATGGATATTGGGATGCTGGGATATTGGGACATGGGGATATTGGGATATTAGGATATCAGGATTTTGGAAATTTGGTGTATTGGAACATTGGGATACTGGGACATTTGGATATTGGGATATCAGGATATCAGACTTTTGGGAATTTGGGATGTTGGGACATTGGGATATTTGGATATTGGGACATTGGGATATTTGGACATTGGGATATCAAGGTATTGGGATATTGGGATATTTTGATATTGGGATATCAGGGTGTTGGGATATCAGGATATTGGGATATTGGGACATTGGGATATTTTGATATTGGGATATCACAGTGTTGGGATATCAGGATATTGGGATATTTTGATATTGGGATATCAGGGTGTTGGGATATCGGGATGTTGGGATATCAGGATATCAGGGTGTTGGGATGTCAGGATATTGGGATATTGGGATCGTTCCCTACCTGCCAGCAGGGCAGGGAGCAATGCTCCGGCCCCCACGTCCTGCCCAGGGGAGGAAGCAGCTGTTTCCCACTGCTGAGGGGTATTTTTAACCCAAAATCAACGGGAGGGTTTGTCTGGGCTGAAAGTGAAGAACCACCTGGGCTCCTTTCCTGCCCGGCCCCGCAGCTGTGGCTTTTCCCTGCTCCACACTCCCAGCTCAACTTCTCACCCAGGAATTTCTGCCCAAACCACGCTGACACCAAATTCTCCCTAAAAATCCCCCCCTTGGGGTAGCACCACCCCCGTCTCCCACCCCATGGGGCGCCTTCCTCCTTCCCAAGCCCTCCTGACGCCGGTATTTTTGTTTCCCACGGTTGTTTTCGCAGCTCCAGTTGCTGTGGTATCCAGGGAGCCCTCCTCCTCCTCCTCCTCCTCCTCCTCCCGCTGCAGGAGCTGCACGCCGGGCGTTGCTAAGGTCGCCTCCGCGGTAACATGCACATCCTGTTTACACCTTCATCCCGACAACTTGGGCTCGGATAGAGCCGCCCGTTCCCCCCGGGAAGCCCCCAGGGAAGGGAGCATCCCCCCCGGAGCCGCCGGAGCGGCGAGCAAGGCCGCGCCAGGAGCGCCGCGCCGGTGGCACCGTCACTGTGACAAGATGACGAACAACGTGGCCGACCACCACCCCGGGAACTCGGTGGCCGAGGGCAACCATGAGGGGGACTTTGGGTGCTCCTTGGTGGAGCTCAGGAACCTCATGGAGGTGAGGAGCGCCGAGGCCGTGGCCCGGATCAACGACTCCTATGGCGGCGTCCAGAACGTCTGCAAGAGGTTGAAGACGTCGCCGGTCGAAGGTGAGTGGCCCTGCCGTGGGCTGGGGCTGTCACCTCGGGGGTTGGCAGCTCCAGGATGGAGACGTGTGAAGGTGACACCCAATGGTGGTGGCTCCTGTGGGCTGTGGTTGTCACCTCTGGGGTTGTCAGCTCTAGGATGGAGACATGTGAAGGTGACACCTGATAGTGGTGGCTCCTGTGGGCTGGGGTTGTCACCTCTGGGGTTGTCACCTCCAGGATGGAGACATATGAAGGTGACATTCAAGGGTGATGGCTCCTGTGGTCTGGAGTTATCACCTCCAAGATGGAGACATGTGAAGGTGACACCCGAGTGTGGTGGCTCCCATGGTCTGGGGTTGTCACCTCTGGGGTTGTCAGCTCCAGGATGGAGACATGTGAAGGTGACATTCAAGGGTGGTGGCTCCCAGTGTCTGGGCTTGTCACTTCTGGAACAGAGCCATGTGAAGGTGATGCTGGAGGGTGGTGACTCCAGTGGCTGTCATGTGATCTGGGGTTGTCACTTTTGGCATGGAACCACATGAAGGTGACACTTGAAGATGGTGTCTCCAGTGGCTGTCCCATGGTCTCAGGTTGTCACCTCTAGGGTTGTCACCTCTGGGGTGGAGCCATGTGAGGATGACACCTGAGAGTGGTGGCTCCAGTGGCCATCCCGTGGTCTGGGGTTGTCACTTTTGTGATGGCTCCACGTGAAGGTGACAGTGTATGGTGGTGGCTGCAGTGGCCATCCCGTGGTCTGGGGTTGTCACCCCTGGCCTGTCAGAGGTGTGGGATGGGGTGAGGAGCTCCTCCCCACAGCCCAGGTGCTGCTCCAGCCGTTCCCTGTTTAATCATTTATGGGGTGTAAAGGTTGGACGGTGCTGGTGAGGTGGCCGGGTGCCACCTGCAGCTGTTGGTGACACTTTGGGTGAGGGATGGGGACAGTGCATCCCCAGAGGGGGTGGGGGATGCACCCAGGGATGGGGAGATGGGCCCAGGTCCCTCCTGGTCTGAGGATGCTCCAAGGAAAACCTGGGCAGCACAGCTGGGGTGGTGGCAGTGACACTGGGGTCACCTCTGGGAGGGCCTCAGGGTGTCACCTCTGCCCTCGTGGGCTGGGCTGGCTTCTGGTGGCACTGGGGGCACAGCAGTGGAGCCTTCCCTGGCATTGAGGGGGTGCAGGGGGCAGAGAGCCCCTGATTCCAGCTCCGAGGGGTTTCCTGGAGCTGTGGGATGGGGACTTGGCCCTAAAACTGTGGGATGGGGACTTGGCCCTAAAGCTGTGGGATGGGGATACAGCTCTGGGGTTGTGGGGTGGGGACATGGCTGTGACAATCTGTGGGGTGGGGACTGAGCCCTGGAGCTGCTTGGCCCTAAAACTGTGGGATGGGGATACAGCTCTGGGGCTGTGGGGTGGGGACATGGCTGTGACAATCTGTGGGGTGGGGACATGGCTGTGACAATCTGTGGGATATTTTTAGTGCTGCACGGGGGGGATTTGCAGCTTTCCAGCTGCGAGTGGGACCGGGAAGGAGAGACAATATCGGGATGTCGTTAGAGCAGGGGGGGAGCTCCCGGTGGAAATACAAAGCCCAGGTCACAAAACAATGTGCTCAGCCCTGCCAAAGTGGGGTCACGCTGCTGTGGGGTGGGAGGAGAACCCAAAAGGCTCTTTTAGGGGAGGGGAAGGGTTCAGTCCCACCCCGATGCCCCTGGCACGTCCCTCCCGTGGAGCTGAGCTGCCCCAGATCCCAGAGAGCAAAGAAAGGTTCTCTCCAAATCCTCGGGGATTTTTGGGAAGAGCAAAATCCCGAGGGAACCTGTGGCACCTCTGACCCCGCTGAGAGGGGGGCACGTCCCAGCTCCGTGTCCCTGCTCCCGGGTGTTTGTCCCCATGCCCATGCTCGTGTCCCTCTGCTGATCACCCCGCTGGGGTGGCACAGGCCGTGTCCCCCTGTGTGAAGGTGAGTGGCCCTGCCAGGGCCCCTGTCCCGCTGTGGGATCTGTGCTCTGATCCCACCTGGCTCCGTGTGGCTCCTGACCCTCGGTGCCACCCTGTGCCGCAGCACTGCTGTCCCCTCTCCAGCCTGGCGCTGTCCTCGTGGCAAACACCGGCCACGGTCCCCCAGAGCCGCCTTGGGTGGCCCTTGGGGTCCCCACCGCGGTGTCGCTTTGGGGTCTGCTGGTTCTGGCAGCTGCAGCTGTGCCCCAGGAGGTGCCAGCAGACCCCAAACCCTCGGGGCAGCTCCAGAGTGGCTTTGGGGTGGCGTGGGGTGTCCCACGGCCGTGAGCAGGCGGTGGCTCTGCTGAGTCACTGTGTCCCCTGGGTGCCAGCACAGCCCCCCTGACTCGCCCCGGGCTGCCACCCCCAGCCCCATTCCTGCGGGGGCTCCTCATGCCACCCCACAGTGCTGTCCCCGGGCAGAGCTGGCACTGGGGACAGCTCCCTGCTGTCACGTGTGGCCTCCACCCAGAATTCCTACCCCATTTTCCGTGCCAGAGTCTGCAGTGTCCCCACGGGTGGCACCTGCCCAGGGCTCTGCTGCTCTTTGTCACCTTCTAATCGGCCCTGCAGTGGCATTTGGGTGGCACGGGCTCTTTGTCACCCTCCTTGTGCCAGCACAGAGCCATCGAACCCCCCAATTCCCCGGGGAGGGTGGGGACAGCCCTGGGATCATCCCCGTGGGTGGGATCTGCTCTGGGACCCCTGTGCTGTGGGACTGTCCTGTGTCCCCGTGTGTCCCCACGTGTCCCCACGTGTGTCCTCATGTGTCCCCTGTGTCCCCACGTGTGTCCCCGCGGCTCTGTGGCCATGAGCAGCATTTTCCACCCTCTGGTGGGGAATGAGGCCGGGACATCCCAGATCCTGCTCAGCCTCCCCGTCATGGCTGGGAGGGGACACCGAGGCTGCTGTGCCAGCTGCCAGCTGTCCCCTCCCTGCAGCTGGGCTGGGTGGCACCGGTCCTGCAGCTTCCTCCGGCTGGGGGGACACGGGGCTGGCAGGGGGTGTCCCCAGAGTGACACGGAGGGGGTCCCCAAAGGGACATGGGACTGGCAGGGGGTGTCCCCAAAGGGACACAGGGTGGGCAGGGGGTGTCCCCAGAGTGACACGGAGGGTGTCCCCAAAGGGACACGGGACTGGCAGGGGGGGTCCCCCAAGGGACACAGGGGGGGCAGGGGGTGTCCCCAGAGTGACACGGAGGGGGTCCCCAAAGGGACACAGGGTGGGCAGGGGGTGTCCCCAGAGTGACTCGGAGCTGTCCCCTGAGTGCAGGGCCCGGGTCCCCTGGCACTGCCAGGCTGCTCCAGGCACCACCGGGATGTGCCCAGGGCCACTCCCAGAGCGTCCCCGGACCTGGCAGTGACCCCGGGGACATCTTAAGGTGGAGAAGGGTGGCGGGGGGGGGGGTCCCTTAAGGTGGTGCTGGGGACACGGCTGTGTCACACTGCCACTGTCACCCACTGCTGCCTGGAGGGACCCCAGGAGCACTTATGGCTTTATTAGGGGTGGCAGTGTCACTTTGTCACTGTCACCATCACTGCCTTGTGTCCTGGTACCCCCTCAGCACTTGTGGCTTTGTGGGGTGGCAGTGTCACATTGCCACTGCCCCATTCCCAAACCCCAGCTGGATCTGCCCCATTCCCAAATCCCATCTGGCTCTGCCCCATTCCCAAACCCCAGCTCAGATCTGCCCCATTCCCAAATCCCATCTGGCTCTGCCCCATTCCCAAACCCCAGCTCAGATCTGCCCCATTCCCAAATCCCATCTGGCTCTGCCCCATTCCCAAACCCCAGCTCAGATCTGCCCCATTCCCAAATCCCATCTGGCTCTGCCCCATTCCCAAACCCCAGCTCAGATCTGCCCCATTCCCAAATCCCATCTGGCTCTGCCCCATTCCCAAACCCCAGCTCAGATCTGCCCCATTCCCAAATCCCATCTGGCTCTGCCCCATTCCCAAACCCCAGCTCAGATCTGCCCCATTCCCAAATCCCATCTGGCTCTGCCCCATTCCCAAACCCCAGCTCAGATCTGCCCCATTCCCAAATCCCATCTGGCTCTGCCCCATTCCCAAACCCCAGCTCAGATCTGCCCCATTCCCAAATCCCATCTGGCTCTGCCCCATTCCCAAACCCCAGCTCAGATCTGCCCCATTCCCAAATCCCATCTGGCTCTGCCCCATTCCCAAACCCCAGCTCAGATCTGCCCCATTCCCAAATCCCATCTGGCTCTGCCCCATTCCCAAACCCCAGCTCAGATCTGCCCCATTCCCAAATCCCATCTGGCTCTGCCCCATTCCCAAACCCCAGCTCAGATCTGCCCCATTCCCAAATCCCATCTGGCTCTGCCCCATTCCCAAACCCCAGCTCAGATCTGCCCCATTCCCAAATCCCATCTGGCTCTGCCCCATTCCCAAACCCCAGCTCAGATCTGCCCCATTCCCAAATCCCATCTGGCTCTGCCCCATTCCCAAACCCCAGCTCAGATCTGCCCCATTCCCAAATCCCATCTGGCTCTGCCCCATTCCCAAACCCCAGCTCAGATCTGCCCCATTCCCAAATCCCAGCTCGGATCCGGTGTCTCCAGGGCTGGGAGAGGCTCTGGCAGCTCCAGGGGCTGCAGGGACAGGGCTCAGGTGGCCCCCAGCTCAAGGATTGCCCAGAATTGCCCAGAATTGCCCGGATTTGCCCGGATTTCCCAGATTTATGGCTCATTTGATGTAAACAAGGCTGCTGGTGCCAGCTGGCAGCACCTGGGCACTCGCCAGGTGTCCCCTGCCCGGGGTGACAGTGGCACTCTCCAGGCTGCAGCCCGATACATTATTTGTTTGTTTATATTTTGGTTTATTTAGTTATTTATTTGCTTATATTTTGGTTTATTTCTATTTTGATTTGTTTATATTCTATATATTTCTATTTTGTCTCTTAATGTATTATTTAATTAATTCCTTTATTTATACTTTATTTATTTGTTTCTTTATACTCTATTTATATTGTATATATTACTTAATTATATTTTAGTTTTTTGTACTTTATGTATTTTATATTGTTTATTTGTTTATACTTTATTTATTTATAGTTTGATACTTTATGTATTTTATATTATTTTTTGTTTATACTTTATTTATAGTTTAATTTTATTTATTTTATTTATTTGTTTATACTTAATTTATTTACATTTCATTAATTTATTTTATTTATGTGTCTATATTTTATTTATTTCTATTTTATTTATTTCTATTTTATTTAATTGCTCCTTGTCTCCCGGCTGCCAGCACCTCCCATCCTCCAGGGCGGGCAGGGAGCTGCTCCTGATGAATTCCGCAGGGCCAGCAGAGGGATTTGCCCTGATCCCTGCTCTCCCCACCCCTCCAGGCCTGTCTGGGAACCCCACGGACCTGGAGAAGCGGCGTCAGGTCTTCGGCCAGAACTTCATCCCCCCCAAGAAGGCCAAGACGTTCGTGCAGCTGGTGTGGGAGGCGCTGCAGGACGTGACGCTGATCATCCTGGAGATCGCAGCCATCATCTCCCTGGGGCTCTCCTTCTACCACCCCCCGGGCGGGGACAACGAGCGTGAGTGCCCGCCTGGCACCCGGGCCTGCCCCTTCCCGGGGGGGCTTTGGGATGGAAACTCATGGGATCTGCCCCATTAGTTGTGGGGATATCCTGGGATCAGCTCTGTTCCCTGGGGAGCAGGGCTTTGGCATAAGGACTCTGGGATCTGCCCCGTTCCCACCAGGAGCAGGGCTTTGGGATGGAAACTCATGGGATCTGCCCCATTAGTTGTGGGGATATCCTGGGATCTGCCCTGTTCCCTGTGGGAGCAGGGGTTTGGGATGGAGACTCAAGGATCTGCCCCATTCCCTGGGGGGGGACTCTGGGATCTGCCCCATTCCCTGTGGGAGCAGGGGTTTGGGATGGGGGTGTTGGCATCTCCCCGTCCTTGGGAGAGGACCAGTTATCCAATGGGGAATTCTCTCCAGGCAGTGTGTGGGGTTATCCCATGGGGAATTCTCTCATGTGGGGTTATCCCACAGTAACTCTCTCTCCTGGGCAGTGTGTGGGTTTATCCAAGCAGGAATTCCCTGCTCCAGGCAGTGTGTGGGGTATCCCGTGGGCTCTCTCTCTCCTGGGCAGTGTTTGGGGTTATCCTATGGGAATTCTCTCATTTGGGGTATCCCATGGGATTTCCCTTGTGTGGGGTATCCCATGGGCACTCTCGGAGCAGGGGTTTGGGATGGAGACTCAAGGATCTGCCCCATTCCCTGTGGGGGGACTCTGGGATCTGCCCCGTTCCCTGCAGGAGCAGGGGTTTGGGATGGGGGCATCGGGTGATGGCATCCCCCCATCCTTGGGAGAGGACCAATTATCCAATGGGGAATTCTCTCCAGGCAGTGTGTGGGGTTATCCCATGGGGAATTCCCTGCCCCAGGCAGTGTTTGGGGTTATCCCAAGGGAGCTCTCTCTGGGCAGTGTGCAGGGTTATCCCATGGGAATTCTCCCGTGTGGGGTTATCCCATGGGAATTCCCTCATTTGGGGTATCCCATGGGAATTCCCACATTTGGGGTATCCCATGGGTGCTCTCTGGGCAGTGTTTGGGGTTATCCCATGGGAACTCTCTCATTTGGGGTATCCCATGGGCTCTCCCGGGCAGTGTGTGGGGTTATCCCATGGGACCTCTCTCATTTGGGGTATCCCATGGGAATTCCCTCATTTGGGGTATCCCATGGGCTCTCTCTCTGGGCAGTGTGTGGGGTTATCCCATGGGAGCTCTCTCATTTGGGGTATGCCATGGGAATTCCCTTATTTGGGGTACCCACGGGCTCTCTGGGCAGTGTTTGGGGTTATCCCATGGGAACTCTCTCATTTGGGGTATCCCATGGGCTCTCCCGGGCAGTGTTTGGGGTTACCCCATGGGAATTCTCCCGTGTGGGGTATCCCATGGGAGTTCCCTCATTGGGGGTACCCACGGGCTCTCCGGGCAGTGTGCGGGCAGTCCTCGGGCGGCGTGGAGGACGAGGGCGAGGCGCAGGCGGGCTGGATCGAGGGCGCTGCCATCCTGTTCTCCGTCATCATCGTGGTGCTGGTGACGGCCTTCAACGACTGGAGCAAGGAGAAGCAGTTCCGCGGCCTCCAGAGCCGCATCGAGCAGGAGCAGAAGTTCACGGTGATCCGCAAGGGCCAGGTGATCCAGATCCCCGTGGCCGAGATCGTGGTGGGGGACATCGCCCAGATCAAGTACGGTGAGTGGGGCTGGGGCTCTGCTCCCCTGGGATCCTGCTCCCAAATTCTCCAGCCCTCCTTCCTTCAGGACATGCAGCTCCTCTGGTTGCTCCATGGAGGTGATGGAGCTCCACTCACCTTCTCTTTTTGGCCTGGAGCTTTAAGGAGCTGCTGCATCAGAATTAATTTATTTTATCAGTTCGTGTTAGTTTATTTTCCCAACCTTGCCCCTGTTGCAGAAAAGTTCCTTATCCAGGAGATGTTACTGGATATTTCCTTATCCAGGAGATGTTACTGGATATTTTCTTGGCCAGGAGATGTTGGGGAGTGTTTCCTTATCCAGGAGGTTTTGGGGAACATTTCCTCATCTAGAAGATGTTGCTGGATATTTCCTTATCCAGGAGATGTTGAGGAATATTCTGTTATGCAGGAGTTTTTGAGGAATATTCCCTTATCCAGGGGGTTTTGGGGAGCATTTCCTCATCCAGGAGATGTTACTGGATATTTCCTTATCCAGGAGTTTTTCGGGAGTATTCTGTTACCTGGGAGTTGTTGGGAAATATTTTCTTATCCAGGAGGTTTTGGGGAGCATTTCCTCATCCAGGAGATGCTGGGGAATATTTCCCTACCCAGGAGTTCTTGGGGAATATTCTGTTATCCAGGAGATGTTGGGGAATATTTCCTTACCCAGGAGTTGCTGGGGATTGTTTCCTTGGCCTGGAGGCACTGGTGGATGTTTCCTTATCCAGGAGCTGCAGCCCCTGGGATCAATCAGGCCTTGCTCCTCGTTTCCCACGGGGAATATTCCTCCCGTTCAGGAAGGAGATTGATCCAACACCGTGTTTGTTTTCCCAAGGGCCCAATTCCATACTTGGCAGGTGGATACGGATTTTGGATGCATCAGGAGCTCTGGGAAGGATTCATTAAAACCAGATGGGGAAGCACTGAGCAAAATCCTCCCCAGGAGTCTCCAGCGGGGATCTGGGAGCTCTGGGATTTCATCGGAGTGCACCTGTCCCTTCCAAACCCCACCTGCTGCTTCTCCTCCCTCTGGAGCTGGTCTGAGCCCCAGTTTGGGATCCTTTTGGAGCATCCTGTGGGATGGAGCAGGCAGGGCTGAGCCCAGGCCGGGCTGATCCCTGCTTTTCCTCCTCTCCAGGTGATCTCCTGCCTGCGGACGGGATCCTGATCCAGGGCAATGACCTGAAGATAGACGAGAGCTCTCTGACCGGGGAGTCAGACCAGGTGAAGAAATCCATGGATAAAGACCCCATGCTGCTGTCAGGTGAGGGTTCTGGGGTGGATGCAGGGCTGGGGTGGGTTTGGGCTGGGATCAGGGTGGGCTCTGCTCGCAGGGAGGTGTCCAAGGCCAGGCTGGACAGGGCTTGGAGCAATCTGGGCCAGGGGAAGTTGGCCCTGCCCGTGGCAGGGGGTCGGGTTGAAGGTCCCTTCTGAGCCAAACCAGTCTGGGATTCTGTGGGATGGGAACTGGGGGTTTCACCTGGGGGTCTCTGCCCTGCCAGGTACCCACGTGATGGAGGGCTCGGGCAGGATGGTGGTGACTGCCGTGGGCATCAACTCCCAGACAGGGATCATCTTCACCCTCCTGGGAGCAGGAGAAGGTGACGAGGAGAAGAAAGTGAAGAAAGGTAAGAAAATGCCCTGAACCTGCCTTTTCCCTCCTTTCTCCCTTTCCTGGGAACATCCACAGGCTCTTCCCCACATCGGGGTCAGCTGCCCTGGCCCAGGCAGGAACAGGGAGAGGGTGGGGGTCCCTCCCTGTCCCCTCCACCTGGTCCCCCCGTGCTCCCAGACCTCTCTGGGACCTTCTCCATCACCCTGCTCTCCATCCTGGAGCTGTGGGTGGGGGATCAAGGATCCCCCGGGAAGAGGGGCTGGTGGCAGCTCCCCTGCACTGCTCCTTGTCCCTCCCATGGTGGTGGGAAGGTGAGTCCTGGGTGCCCACAGGGCGTTTTTAGCCCATCCAAACCCTGCAGGACCTGGCTGAGGCTCTCCTGAACATTGCCTGAGCTCCCTGGGGGAAAGGAGGGGGTGGAGGAGGCAGAGGAGGGGTGGGACAGCAGCCAGGCCGGGGTGTTCCCATCGTGCTGGGACTGGAGCGCTCTGCTGTCTCAGCTTTCACATCCAGCTGCTTATTCCCTGCTGGGGAAGCTCCCTGTGTCCCTGGTGCCCTGCTCAGCAGGTTTGGCCTCACCGGGATCGGGCGCTGGCAGCAGCATCAGGCTGGCACTGCCAGCTGCTCCAGCATCCCTGTGCCAGGGAGCCCTTCCCGGGAGGCAGTGCCAGGCGGGAGAGGCTGCCGGGCTGTGCTGGGCCTTCCCTGAGCTGGATCCTGCCCTCCCCTGCAGCTGGATCCTGCCCTCAGCTCTGAGCTGGATCCTCCCCAGCCCTGAGCTGGATCCTGCCCTCAGCCCTGAGCTGGATCCTGCCCTCCCCAGCCCTGAGCTGGATCCTGCCCTCAGCTCTGAGCTGGATCCTGCCCTCAGCCCTGAGCTGGATCCTGCCCTCAGCTCTGAGCTGGATCCTGCCTTCCCTGAGCTGGATCCTGCCTTCCCTGAGCTGGATCCTGCCTTCCCTGAGCTGGATCCTGCCCTCCCCAGCCCTGAGCTGGATCCTGCCCTCCCCAGCCCTGAGCTGGATCCTGCCCTCCCCAGCCCTGAGCTGGATCCTGCCCTCCCCAGCCCTGAGCTGGATCCTGCCCTCCCCAGCCCTGAGCTGGATCCTGCCCTCCCCAGCTCCAGGACTGCCAGGATTTGGGAGCTGTGGAGTTCCAGTGTTCGGCTGCCACGGTGGAGGTGGCAGGACAGGATGCCCTGGGAGTGGCACTGGAATGGCACTGGAATGGCACTGGGAGCCATCCAGTGCTTGCAGCTTTCCCAGCCTTCAAGCTCAATGGATCTGGGAGCAGAGCAGGCCAGGGGGTGCCACCAGTTTGTGGGGTGACATAAAGCCCTTGTCACCTGAGGCTGGCTGAGGTGCACCCCCAGGTGCCACCTGGACAGATTTTGGGGGTCACAGCTCCCTGCTCTGGGTCTGGTGCTGCCCACAGTGGGGGACAAGTCTGTGCTCCCCATCCGGATCTGATGGCAGCAGGAGGGAGGGAGGGACCTGGAGCTGCAGGAAGGTTTCTTCTGCTGCAAATCTGCTCCGTGGTTTCTCCTCCTGGAAATCTGAGGCACCTCCAACACCCTCAAGGCACTGCTGGGGTTTGGGGGTGATTTACAGGTGGGGAAAAGCAGAATCCTTGGGAAAGGGGCGCCCAGGGCAGCCTGGGAGCTCTGGAGCCTCGAGCTGTGTGGAGCAAGGCGTGGTGTCCAGAAGGTGACCACTGGAGTGGCCCCTGGGAGCAGCCCAGCTGGATGGGGAATGTGGCTCCCTGTGCTCAGCCCTCCCCCCTTTCTCTCTTTGAACAGGTAAAAAAAGCGGAGCCCCCGAAAACCGCAACAAAGGTAACGCCAGCCTCTCCATCCTTTGAACCAGCACCACACTAACTACCAGGCATTCCTCCTTCCTTCCTTCCTTCCTCCTTCTTCCTTCTCCTCATCAGTCTGTGCTCTTTGCTGCTCCGGCGGGACTCTCGCCTCGTTTCTCCAGGACAGGGTGCAAAGGTCCCGTGGTGTCCCCAAAACCCCACCCCAGGGCGGTGATGCCTTGCTGGGACTACCCAGAAATGGAGGCCAGACAGAATTAAGGGGATAAAAAGCAGTTTTGTTTATTGAAATAACAATATTCAGGTGCATTTAGGGCAGATGGAGCCCGCCCAAAAATGGACCACGGGTCACAACACTTTTGTAAGTTTGATTCATTTGCATATTGGGGGTTAATCTGCCAATTACAGCTTCAGGTAATGAAGTGATTGACCCCAAGTTTGCTCCCCCAACTCACTTTTGTTTCCATCTCTCGGGGCCTGAGGCAGTGAGGTGTCCTTGATTCCCAGGCCTGCGGAGGAATTCTTTTGTAAAAATGGGAAAGCAGCAGCTCACACTGGATATGGAGTTTAGAGTTCTACACTAAAGGACTGCAGGATTATAAATGTATGAAAAAGATGAAAGCTAAAATCCTAAGGCATCACTGGGATGAACCTTCCCATTGTTCCTGCGTGGGGAAAATCCATTTTTCAGGGAGGACAAGGCCCTTCAGCAGGACTTCAGCAGAGCATCCCTTCCTTGGGATACCCCCATGAGTCCCAGCAGGGATTTGGTGGTTTAGAGCTGTCCCTGCAGGGGGTTGGTGTTCAGGGCAGAGCTGGGGGTGCCCTCCTGGCATTCCTGGGATGAGCTCTGGCCCACGGGACGCTTGCACCCTGTCCTGCCATGGCCTCGACTCCGTGAGCGTCTCCTCGCCAGTGTTTCTCACCCTGTTCTTTGCAGGCTGTGGAGGAAGCCCCATTTCTGCACCTCTCTCTCTGCACCCCTCTCTCTGTTTCCGTTTCTCTCTGTTTCTCTCTCTCTCAGCAGTTTGAGTTGCCCTCCTTGCCGTCAGCTGTGTCCGGGTGCTTTGTTGTGTCCGTGTCGGGTCTCCTGTCACCGTGGAGCTTCCTCTGGAGCTGCTCCGGGGTGGCCCAGGAGGGGACAGGTCCCTGGGGCCACTGCTGCTCCTCTGGTGGGCTGCCCATCCCTCTCCAAAGCTTCCAGCCTTGGGTTTACCCTTGCAGCTGGGTTAGCCCAGCTGTAGGAACGGGAAGCCGGGCTCTTTCGGGCCCCCATGGCGTGGTGGATGGCTCCAGGCTGGCACTGCAGGATTCCTGGCTCCCTGCTCTCCAGTCTCCATCCCAATTTCTAACCCTCCCCTCCATCTCACCCCCTCCGTCGCTTCCCTGGGCTGCCCACAGGGCACTGCAGAGGTGGCACTGGGGGACCTGGGGACACTCATCGAGGGACTGGGGACACTGGAGCATCTCTGGGCTCATCCCAAAGCACCCCCAGTCCTCCGCAGGCTTAGAGGCTGGAAGAGACCCCAAAATCTGGCCTGGAGGGTCTGCTGCCTAGAGAGTCACCTCTGAGGATCCCTTATCCGTGGGCAGGGGGTAGGGGACACAAAAGCACCCCGGAGAGAGGTGGCAGGGCCTGGACACGGAGCTTCCATGTGCTCGGACGCGTGTGTGGTCGGGAGTGGTTCTTGTCCTGGATTTCTCTCTCTCTCTCTCTCTGCCACCACCATCCTCCTCAGTGGTGTCCTCCAGGCTGGCCTGGGTCTCTCCTGTTCACACGTGGTGTCTTCTTTTGCCCCCTGGGCTGTAGCTAAAACTCAGGATGGTGTGGCCTTAGAGATCCAGCCCCTGAAGAGCCAGGAGGGGGTGGAGAACGAGGAGAAGGAGAAGAAGAAGGTGAAGGTGCCCAAGAAGGAGAAGTCGGTGCTGCAGGGGAAGCTCACGCGCCTGGCGGTGCAGATTGGGAAGGCAGGTGAGTGACAGTGACAGTGACAGTGACAGTGTCCCCAGAGCTGCTGGGGAAGGGCTGTGCTTGTCCCCAGTGTCCCCTCACCTCATCCTTGTCCCCATCCCCAGTGTCCCCAGAGCTGCTGGGGAAAGGCTGACCCTATCCTGTGTCCCCTCACCTTGTTCTTGTCCCCATCCCCTGTGTCCCCAGAGCTGCTGGGGAAGCACTGTCCCTGTCCCGTGTCCCCTCACCTCATCCTCGTCCCCAGGGCTGATCATGTCGGCCATCACCGTCATCATCTTGGTGCTCTACTTCGTCATCGACACCTTCGGGGTGCAGAAGCGGCCCTGGCTGGCCGAGTGCACCCCCATCTACATCCAGTACTTCGTCAAGTTCTTCATCATCGGCGTCACCGTGCTGGTGGTGGCCGTGCCCGAGGGGCTCCCGCTGGCCGTCACCATCTCGCTGGCCTACTCCGTCAAGGTGAGGCCTGGCCCTGGGGAGCAGGGACGGGGGTGACGGGGCGAGGCCAGCCCTGACCTTGTGGGGTGCTCGCAGAAAATGATGAAGGACAACAACCTGGTGAGGCACCTGGACGCCTGCGAGACCATGGGCAACGCCACGGCCATCTGCTCGGACAAGACGGGCACGCTGACCATGAACCGCATGACCGTGGTGCAGGCCTACGTGGGGGACACCCACTACCGCCAGATCCCCGACCCCGAGGCCATCCTGCCCAAAACCCTGGACCTCATCGTCCACGGCGTGGCCATCAACTCTGCCTACACCTCCAAAATCCTGGTGAGATGCAGCATCGAGGCTTGGGGGTGTCTTGAGAGGGAACTTACAACGCAGGCTGGACAGAGTTAGAGGAATAAAGCAGGGATTTGTTAAAATATGGTGACAGTGACCCCAGAGCTGCTGGGGAAGGGCTGTCCCTGTCCCCTCACCTTGTCCCCTGTCCTGCCTGCCCAAGGAGCCCCTTCAAGGACACACCTTGGGCAGTACAAGAGCCTCCACCCCAAATGGACTCAGAGCCACGAGTTTTCACACTTTTATAGGTTTTGGTTCATTTCCATATTAGGTTTAATTGTCTAATCACAGCTCCAGGTTCTGCAGTCCCATCCTCACCGATTGCTCTCCTCAATCCACTGTTGTTTGCACTTTTTGGGGCTGAAGCTGCAATTCTGGGGCTGGAAAAGGATTGTTCTGTGTGCCTGAGCTGTGAGGAGAACACGTGAAGTTCAGAGTTATATCCTAATGCAGTACAGAGTCTGGAAAATACAAAAGCTGAAACTTAAGGCATCATTGCACCCATCATTGCACCCATCATTGCACCCATCATTGCATCCATCATTGCACCCATCATTGCACCATCCCACCCTGCTCCACGCCCGGGGTTGGCATTGCTTTTCCCTCCTTTTTGCAGCCACCAGAGAAGGAAGGGGGGCTGCCCCGCCAGGTGGGCAACAAGACCGAGTGTGCCCTGCTGGGCTTCGTGCTGGACCTGAAGCAGGATTACCAGGCTGTGCGCAACGAGGTGCCCGAGGAGAAGCTCTACAAGGTCTGAAACAGAGCAGAAATCACCGGGGTAGAAATCCATTTGGGATTTAGGTGGCTGTAGCTTGCTGGCTTAGTGAAATGTGCTGCTTTAACTCCTTTAGTCTGTTAACTCTGCTGTGCTCGCAAGCTGCCTCAGTAAGGAAAAAGAGTGGGAACTCCCCAACTGAAAAGGGAGATAAGAGGGGCCCCCTGAACTCTGAAATGAGGGTGAGAGCCAGAGCTGAGGCTGCAAAGACACAGTGACCAAAGAGCTCTCTGTACAACGATTAAATGTGAAATATTAAAATGAATATACAGAAACCTATTGTGAAACTCTGTGCATATCTACAATAAAGGGGGGATAAAAAAGGGTTGGGGGATTCTCAGGAGGAATTCTGCATGTCCTTGGGATTTCCCTTGGGGAATTCCTTGGGATTTCCCTTGAGGGATTCTCAGGGGTGTGCATGTCCTTGGGATTTCCTTGGGGACTTCTCAGGGCTGTGCATGTCCTTGGGATTTCCCTTGGGGAATTCCTTGGGATTTCCTTTGGGAATTCTCAGGGGTGTGCATGTCCTTGGATTTCCCTTTGGGAATTCTCAGGCATGTGCATGTCCTTGGGATTTCCCTTTGGGATTTCCCTTGGGGAATTCTCATGGCTGTGCATTCCCAGGGGGAACGACCCCGCAGCGCTGCAATAACCACAGCAGCTTTACAGATTGTGGGGCTGATTTGTTATTTTTGCCCCCAATCCAGGTGTACACCTTCAACTCGGTGCGCAAGTCCATGAGCACGGTGCTGAGGAGCAGCGGCGGCGGCTTCCGCATGTACAGCAAGGGCGCCTCCGAGATCATCCTGCGCAAGTAATCCCTGCTGCAGCCCCTGCCCCGGGGTGCCCGGGGGCTGGGGGAGCCTCGGGGAAAGGGGGGGCCCGGGTGGGCTGCCAGGAGTGGGGTTTGGGTGGGTTTGGGAAAGTTGGAGGGGCTGTGACAAAGGGGACAGCCCCTTTTCTGTGGATGGGGTGCCAGGAAAGTGCTGAGTGGTTTTGGGGTGGGTTTGGGGAAGTTGGAGGGAGTTGTGGAAGGGGAATGCCCCCTTTTGGATGTGGGGTGCCAGGAATGTGCTGAGTGGTTTTGGGGTGGGTTTGGGAAAGCTGGAGGGGGCTGTGAAAAAGGTGATAGTCCATTTTGTAGACGGGGTGCCAGGAGTGTGCTGAGTGTTTTTAGGGTGGTTTCGGGATAGTTGGAGGGAACTGTGGAAGGGGGATGAGCCCCTTTTTGTACATGGGGTGTCAGGAGTGTGCTGAGTGTTTTTAGGGTGGTTTCGGGATAGTTGGAGGGAACTGTGGAAATGGGATGAGCCCCTTTTGGAAGTGAGGTCCAGGAATGTGCTGAGTGTTTTTAGGGTGGGTTTAGGAAAGTTGGAGGGAGCTGTGGAAGGGGGGTGTGTCCCTTCTATAGATGGGGTGCCAGGAATGTGCTGAGTGGTTTTGGGTGGATTTAGGAAACCTGGAGGGGGCTGTGAAAAGGGAACAGCCCCTTTTTGTAGGTGGGGTACCAAGAATGTGCCAAGTGGTTTTTTGGGTGGGTTTGGGAAAGCTGGAGGGAGTTGTGGAAGGGGGATCTGCCCCTTTTTGTGGATGTGGTGACAGGAACGTGCTGAGAGTTTTTAGGGTGGATTTAGGAAATCTGGATGGGGCTGTGAAAAGGAACAGCCCCTTTTTATGGATGGGTGCCAGGAATGTGGCCCTGCCTCACCTCCTGCTCCCCTCAGGTGCACCAAGATCCTGGACAAGAACGGCGAGCCGCGGCTGTTCAAGGTGAAGGACAGGGACGAGATGGTGAAGAAGGTGATCGAGCCCATGGCCTGCCACGGGCTCAGGACCATCTGCCTGGCATTCCGGGATTTCCCTGCGGATGCAGAGCCCGACTGGGACAGCGAGAACGAGATCCTGTCTGAGCTGACCTGCATCGCTGTGGTGGGGATCGAGGATCCCGTGCGGCCCGAGGTGCCAAATCCCACCTGCACCCCTGTCCTGTGCTGTTCCCGGCCCTTTTCCTGCTGCTCAGGGCTGTGATCCCCTCAGGAACTCCAGCAATTCCCCTGTGCCCATCCCTGATGTTCCCTCAAGCAATTCCAGCAATTCCCCTGTGTCCATTCCTGATGCTCCCCCAAAGAATTCCCGCAGCTCCTCTGTGCCCATCCCTGCTGTTCCCTTCAGGAATTCCAGCAGCTCCTCTGTGTCCACCCCCTGATGTTCCCCCAGGGAATTCCAACAGTTCCCCTGTGCCTATTCCTGCTGTTCCCCCAAGCAATTCCAGCAGCTCCCCTGTGCCCATCCCTGATGTTCCCCCAAGCAATTCCAACAGTTCCCCTGTGCCTATTCCTGATATTCCCCCAAGGAATTCCAGCAATTCCCCTGTGCCTATTCCTGCTGTTCCCCCAAGCAATTCCAGCAGTTCCCCTGTGCCTATTCCTGATGTTCCCCCAGGGAATTCCAGCAGTTCCTCTGTCCTCATCCCTGATGTTCCTCCAGGGAATTCCAGCAGCTCCCCTGTGCCCATCCCTGATGTTCCCCCAAGGAATTCCAGCAGCTCCTCTGTGCCCATTCCTGCTGTGCCCCCCAGGAATTCCAGTAGCTCCTTTGTGTCCATCTCTACTGCGGGCACTTCTCTCCCACTTTTGGACAACACAACACCATGGCAGCGTGCTCCCACCCAAAATTCCCAATCCTTGGTGTCTGTGCTGCTCCAGGCTGCACCAAAGGTGGATGGAAAAAGCCAGGAAGAATCCCTGGGCTGCTGGAGCTGGTTTTCCCTCTGAGCTGCCTCTGGGCTAATGCAATAACGCCCCACTCCTGCCCCTGGATGCAGCTGGAGCTCTCCTGGTCCCTGATGAGATGTCAGGATCTGGCAATCTGGAATTGCATTGCAGCTGCCCCGGCTGCCGCGGCTCTGGAGGCTCCTGATTCGATTTGCTCATTGCTCACTCCAATTTCCCCTCTCCCCCCACTGCTCCCTGATGGATAAACCCATTAGTGGGGTGGCACAGGATGAAATTCCTGCTTTATGGACGGCCTGGCCGTGCCTTGGCACCCAGGGAGGTGACAGCGAGGTGGCACCAAGGTGGCACCGAGGTGGCAGTGAGGTCTCTTCCCCTTGGGGTGGCAGATGCAGCTCCCTCACCCCTCCAGAGCCCTCTCCAGATGCTTTTAGGGACGAGGAGCTGCCTCACTGCCGGCGTTCCCGGTGCCACCCCGTCCCCGTGCCTGTCCCCAGGTGCCCGATGCCATCCTGAAGTGCCAGCGCGCGGGCATCACCGTCCGCATGGTGACAGGGGACAACATCAACACTGCCCGGGCCATCGCCACCAAGTGTGGCATCCTGCTGCCCGGGGAGGACTTCCTGTGCCTGGAGGGGAAGGAGTTCAACCGGCTCATCCGCAACGAGAAGGGAGAGGTGCGGGAGCTGCGCCCTGCAAAAACCCCAGATCGGAGGGGTTTCCCAAATCCCAAGGGGTTTCCCAAATCCCGAGGGGTTTCCCAAATCCTGAGGGGTTTCCTGGATCCTGAGGGGTTTCCCAAATCCCGAGGGGTTTCCTGGATCCTGAGGGGTTTCCTGGATCCTGAGGGGTTTCCCAAATCCCGAGGGGTTTCCCACATCCTGAGGGGTTTCCCAAATCCCAAGGGGTTTCCCAAATCCTGAGGGGTTTTCTGAATCCTGATGGGTTTTCAGGATCTGGTTGGGTTTTCCAAACCCCGCTGGGTATCCCAATCCCAATCCCAATCCCAATCCCTGGGTTTCCCAGTCCCTGCTGTGTTTCCCAGTCCCTGCTGGGCTTTCCTCATTTCCTGCTGGGGTGTGCTCAGCAGTGTTTGGGGTGAACCCACTGTCCTGTCCCAGCTGGGATTTGCTCTCTGGTGGGCCAGAAGATTCCTGGGGGGAATCACTTCCCTTTTCCCGGTGCTGCAGGTGGAGCAGGAGCAGCTGGACAAGATCTGGCCCAAGCTGCGGGTGCTGGCGCGCTCGTCCCCCACCGACAAGCACACCCTGGTGAAAGGTGGGCACTGCCCTCCCAGGGGCTCCTCCCGGGCATTTCTCCAGCCTGACCCGGGCTGGGATCCTTCCCTGGAGGTTTCATTTCTCCTTTCCACCGCAGGAATCATCGACAGCACCGTGGGTGACCAGAGGCAGGTGGTGGCTGTGACAGGGGACGGCACCAACGACGGCCCAGCCCTGAAGAAAGCAGACGTTGGGTTTGCCATGGTAGGGGAGCCTGGGGCCTTTCCTTTGCTCTTGGGATTGCTTCCAGACTGTGGAATCCCTTTTCCAAATCTTTGGGATGAGCTAAAAACCCGAAAAGGGATTTTCTTAGGGTGTTGGGTTTGAGTCTGAGCTGTGCAGGGCTGTGAGAAAGGGGTTGGGAATTCCTTGGAGGTCCCAGAGCAGGGGCCTGCCCTGTCCTGGTGTCTCTGCTGGATCCAGGAGAGCCATGGCAGCCCCAGGATTTGGTTTTCCCTGCAGCTTTTCACCCCAGTTCCAGGCACGGTGCTGGATCAGGCTTTGGGAATTTATTTATGGGGGAAAACTCTGGTTTGGTGCTTTTTTGTCCTGTCTGAAAGGAGCAGGGAAATGAACCTGTTGTTTTTAACAGATTCCCTGTGAATTGATTTTAGGGACATGAGCAGGAGCTGGGCGGGGAGCAAATGAGAGATTTTTGGGAAGTGTTTTTAGGAATGTGCTGAACATCCAAACACAATTCCAGAAGCAGGGAAGGCTGTTCCCCTAAACCCCATGCCCTGCAACAGGCGGGGATTTCCCCTTTGGGGTGGGATTGGGATCTGGGGAATCCGGGAAAAAGAAAACGCCGGGAATGGGCTCGTTTTGGGCAGGGCTTGGAATTCCTGCATGGAATTCCTGCGGGGCGAGCGCCTCGCAGTGCCGGCTCCGGGAAGCGCAGCCCGGCCGCTGCCCTGGGGACTTTTGGGGATTTTGGGGGATTTTTGGGAAGCTGCGGGGCCGTTCTCAACCCGGGCCGGGACAGAAACCTCCGGGCTGAGCTCTCCCTCCTTTGGGCTCCCAGCAGAGGCGCCCGGCCCGGGATGGAGCCAATCCCTGCCATGAGGAGGGAGCTGTTTCCCAGCTGTTTCCATCCCAATTCCAGCTGTTTCCCAGCTGTTTCCCAGCTGTTTTCCTGTTTGTTTTCCAGTCTGTTTTTTAGCTGTCTTCCTGTTTGTTTTCCAGCTCTTTTCTGGCTGTTTCCTGTCTGTGTTCCTGTTTTCCTGTCCATTTTCCATTTCCTAGCATTTTCCCAGCTGTTTTTGGACCATTTTCCAGCTGTTTCCCAGACGTTTCCTGGTGTTTTCCTGGCTATTTCCTGGCTATTTCCTGGCTGTTTCCAGTCTGTTTTCCTGCCTGTTTTCCAGCTGCTTCCTGTCCATTTCCCAGCTGTTTCCCAGCTGTTTCCCAGCTCTTTCCTGTCCATTTCCCAGCTGTTTCCCAGCTGTTTCCCAGCTGTTTCCCAGCTCTTTCCTGTCCATTTCCCAGCTGTTTCCCAGCTGTTTCCCAGCTGTTTCCCAGCTGTTTTCCAGCTGTTTCCTGTCCATTTCCCAGCTGTTTCCCAGCTGTTTCCTGGTGCGGGTGGGACATGGTGGTGGCATCATCGTGGCCTTCACCGGGGCCTGTGTCACACAGGTGAGCTCACCTGGACGGGTGGGACATGGGGGATGTCACCTCGGTGGGTGGGACATGGTGGTGGCATCATCGTGGCCTTCACCGGGGCCTGTGTCACACAGGTGAGCTCACCTGGACGGGTGGGACATGGGGGATGTCACCTCGGTGGGTGGGACATGGTGGTGGCATCATCGTGGCCTTCACCGGGGCCTGTGTCACACAGGTGAGCTCACCTGGACGGGTGGGACATGGGGGATGTCACCTTGGTGGGTGGCATCATCGTGGCCTTCATTAGTGCCTGCACCACCCAGGTAGACAGCAGGGGAATGAATGGACCTGTTGGATTTCACAGGTTCCCTGTGGGTTGTTTTTCAGTGGAGCAAGAGAATAAATTCCTTGATTTTTTTAACAAATTTTCAGTAGATTGTTTTCTGGTGGAGCAGGCAAATACATTTCTTGGATTTAACAGGTTTTCAGTAGATTGTTCTTCACTGGAGCAGGAGAATAAATAAACCTGTTGGATTTAACAGGTTTCCCATGGATTGTTGAAGTTTAGGGACGTGACCAAGAGCTGGGGGTTGGGAGGTGCTTTGTGAGGCAGTGCAAGGAGCTTGGAGCAAAGGAGAGATGTTTGGGAATGTTTTAGGAAGGTGTTGAGTACCCAAGAGCGATTTTTAGAGGTTTTTAGGAGGAGAGTGAAACAAAGAGGGAACAAAGGTTTATTTTGGTGGCATGACACGTTCTCCCCCCTCAGGACTCACCCCTGAAGGCCGTGCAGATGCTGTGGGTGAACCTGATCATGGACACGTTCGCCTCGCTGGCGCTGGCCACGGAGCCGCCGTCCGAGTCGCTGCTGCTGCGCAAACCCTACGGGCGCAACAAGCCGCTCATCTCCCGCACCATGATGAAAAACATCCTGGGCCACGCCGTCTACCAGCTCACCATCATCTTCACCCTGCTCTTCGCGGGTCAGCCACGGCGCCACCGTGTCCTGGGAGGGGAGGAGGGAGAGGGAGAGGGAGAGGGAGAGGGAGTGGGGAAGGGGAAGGGGAAGGGGAAGGGGAAGGAGAGGAGAAAAGGAAAACGAAGGGAAAGAGAAAGGGGAAAAGGAAAGGCGAAAAAGGGAGGGGAAAGGGGGAAAAGGAAAAGGAAAGGAGGAAAGGGAAAGGAGAATAGGAAAAGGTAAGGGAAAAAGGAGAAGGAAAGGAGAAAAGGAAAGGGAAAAGAAAAGGAGAAAAGGTAAAAGTAAGGGGAAAAAGGAAAGGGGAAAAAGGAGGGTTTTCTTTCTTTATTGGTTTCTATTGCTTTTTTCTATTGTTTTTTCTTTATTGGTTTCTCTGGCTTTTTCTGTTGGGTTTTCTTTCTTTCTATTGGTTTTTCTTTCTTTCTTGGTTTCTATTGTTTTTTCTATTGTTTTTTCTTTCTTTCTTATTTTCTATTTTGGGACATTTTGGTCATTCTATGTCAACAACCCTGCTAGAAAATTCATTCGGCGTAAACACGGATCCTCTTCTCAAACTTCTCTCTGTCTCACAAAAAGCTGTAAAACCTCTCCCACACCTTCCCTTCCCCAAATCCTTTTATTTTCCTGCTCAGGGGAGAAGTTTTTCGACATCGACAGCGGCCGGAACGCGCCCCTGCACTCGCCCCCCACCGAGCACTACACCATCGTCTTCAACACCTTCGTGATGATGCAGCTCTTCAACGAGATCAACGCGCGCAAGATCCACGGCGAGAGGAACGTCTTCGAGGGCATCTACCGCAACCCCATCTTCTGCACCGTGGTGCTGGGCACCTTCTTCGCCCAGGTGACCCCAGCCTGGGCGTCCGGCTGTGCTCCCTGGGCTGTTCCACTGGGATGCCATGGCTCCCTGGGCTGTTCTACATGGGTTATTCCATGGCTCCCACTTTGCTCCGTGGGTTATTCCACGTGGGTTATTTCACATGGGTTATTCCATGGCTCCCACTTTGCTCCATGGGTTATTCCATGTGGGTTATTCCATGGCTTCCACTTTGCCCCATGGGTTATATCACTGGGATTCCATGGCATCCACTTTGCTCCGTGGGTTATTCCATGGCTTCCACTTTGCTCCGTGGGTTATTCCACGTGGGTTATTTCACATGGGTTATTCCATGGCTCCCACTTTGCTCCATGGGTTATTCCACATGGGTTATTCCATGTGGGTTATTCCATGTGGGTTATTCCATGTGGGTTATTCCACAGCTTCCACTTTGCTCCATGGGTTAGACATCGGTTATTCCATGGCTTCCACTTTGCTCCGTGGGTTATTCCATGTGGGTTATTCCACATGGATTATTCCATGGCTTCCACTTTGCTCCCTGGGTTATTCTACATGGGTTATTCCATGTGGGTTATTCCACAGCTTCCACTTTGCTCCGTGGGTTATTCCATGTCTTCCAAGTTTGCTCCATGGGTTATTCCATGGCTCCCACTTTGCTCCATGGGTTATTCCATGGCTCCCACTTTGCTCCATGGGTTATTCCATGGCTCCCACTTTGCTCCATGGGTTATTCCATGGCTCCCACTTTGCTCCATGGGTTATTCCATGGCTCCCACTTTGCTCCATGGGTTATTCCATGGCTCCCACTTTGCTCCATGGGTTATTCCATGGCTCCCACTTTGCTCCATGGGTTATTCCACATGGGTTATTCCACGGCTTCCACTTTGCTCCCTGGGTTGTTCCACTGGGATTGCTTCCAGACCATGGAAATTCTGATCCAAGTCTATGGGATAGGCTAAAAACCCAAAAAAGGGATTTTCTTAGGGTGTTGGGTTTGAGTCTGAGCTGTGTAGGGCTGTGAGAAAGGGGTTGGGAATTCCTTGGAGGTCCCAGAGCAGGGGCCTGCCCTGTCCTGGTGTCTCTGCTGGATCCAGGAGAGCCATGGCAGCCCCAGGATTTGGTTTTCCCTGCAGCTTTTCACCCCAGTTCCAGGCACGGTGCTGGATCAGGCTTTGGGAATTTATTTATGGGGGAAAACTCTGGTTTGATGCTTTTTTGTCCTGTCTGAAGGGCTGCCAGCGTGTCGCTGTTGAATTAAGGACGGGTGAATAGAGCAACACAGAGTTCAAATTCTCAGAAGGCAAAAGGCAAATTTATTAGAAACCACACTTTCTTCTATTGACAATTCTGAGAAAGCTGGACCTGACTGGTCCTTAATCAACACCCTCACATCATTGGCTAATTAGGAACAGAACCCTTCTTGCACCTCTTACAAGATAACAGCACGTTCAAAACGCCAGCTGCAGGATTGTTTTAATTCTTCCTCTGAGCTTTCTCAAAACTCCCTGGAGCAAGCCCTGGGAAAGTTTATCTGGCTCTTTCTCTGACCAGACTTTCAGCATGCACAGCAGGGGCTGTGGCACAGGCAGGCTCTGTTCTGTGCCCTTGGCCTTCAGCAGCAGCGCCTTGGTGGCACAAAAACCACCCTGGAAGTGCTCAAGGCTGGGTTGGGTGGAGCTCAGAGCGACCTGAGCTGCTGGAAGGTGTCCCTGTGCATGGATCTGGGTGGGCTTTAAATCCCTTCCAGCCCAAAACATTCTGGGATTTCAGGATTTGGGATCCAGAGCGTGTTGGGAGGTGTTTCATAAATTCCCAGCCCGAGTGGGAAGTCCCTGCTCCTCTCTGGTGTTCCACAAAATTCACAGTGTGGATGGGAGGTGCTTAATCCTAAAATTCCCAGCCTGGTGTGAGGTCCCTGCTCTTTTCTGGTGTTACTCAAAATTCTCAGCCTGAGTGGGAAGTTGGGGGGCTCTGCCTGCTGTGTCTGCTCCTGTCTCTCTCCCCCTGCAGGGGGGTGAAGCTGCTGCCATCCCTGGCCAGGCTTCCAGCTGTGGGAGACAGAAAAGCTGGATTTTGGGACAGCTGGGGTGGGGGGAGGCTGTTGTGCTGCAGGCACCGTGCTGCTGCTCAGCAGGAGGCTGATGTGCCACTGATGGTCACCTCTGCAGCACAGGAGCTGTGAGGGGTGCACGGAGCCCCCCGGGCTGTGCCCTGCTCCTGCTGGGATGCTGTTCCCAGTGGGAATGTGCCCAGCAGGGATCTGCCAGCACCAGAGCCTCCTGGTGTGGCTCCTCGTGGCACCCCTCTGTGCCAGCTCCCCGTGCTCCACACGCAGAGCTCAGCCCCACGGCACACGAGGGGAGAAAATCTCTGTGTCTTCTTTTTACATCTCTTGGTTTTCCCTGAATTTTCCCCTGATTTTTTCCTTTTTCCCCACCCCAAAAGGGTGGATTTTTGCTCCCACCAAGCAGGGAGAGCTCTGTGCCCCTCACTTTCCCTGGAGACCAGGGCAGGGAAGTGCTGGTGTCCCCAGGCAGGCAGAGCTGCTGGGTCACCTCTGTCCCCTCTCTGTGACAACAAACGGGGACAGGGCTGGGGCAGAGTTCACTTCCCTTCTCTGTGGCTTCAGGGTGAAGCTCAGCCCCGGTTCCTGGCTGGCTGTGAGCCCCGAGGGGCAGCTGGGCTCCGTGTGGGGGTAACCAGTGCTGCACTGCCATGAGGAACGTGCTGGGAGCTTCCAGGACCTCCTGGAGGTGCTGCAGATGTGCTGGAAACCTGGGAGCTCTGCAGGGCTGCAGTGCCAGAGGTGCCCCTGGAGCTTCCCGGGTGTTTCCCTGTGCTGGAGCTGAGAGGAGCTCCTGCCACGTGAGAAATGGGTGCTGGCACCTCCTGGAGCCTCTCTGGGGTCCAACCTGAGCGCTGGGGGGGCTCCTGTCCCCATCTGGGGTGTGTGGAAAGGGCTCAGGGGAGAAGTGGGACATCAGAGTGGGGCAGGAGCGAAGCTGGGTGTGAAACCTCTGCACAGGCAGAGCTGGGGCTGCAGCAGGTGCCCAGAAGGTGCCACAGGGCTGGCATCACCCAGCCACAAAGTGCCCAGGAAGCCACGGATGCTGCTCAGTTCCTGAGGCCTTGGGACACATCCACAGGGCAGCCACGGCCCCACCAGCAGGGTGCTGCATGCCCAGAGGGGCTGGCACCTCTCCTGCTGCCATGGGGGCTGTGGGGAGCCCGTGGAGTGTCCCCAAAGTGGCCCCACAGGGCTGAGGCAGCAGGAGCCCTTCCCCACCAGCTGCCCGCTCGCACTCTGCCCACCCTCTCTGCCTCTCTCTGCTCCTCCTGCAGATTTTTGGATAACCCCAGGTGTCTCCTGTGCCACTGCCCTTTTCCTGGTGGGGGATCAGCCCTGCTGCTCTGGCTGCCCTGGGAAGGGCAGAGCTGGGCACCCTCTCTCTGCTGCCCCCCAACACCACCAGCAAAACCCCACGTGGGTTTCGGGGAGCGTGGGGTGGCGGGGGGCTCTTTCCTCCTTCCTCCTCCTCTTCCTCGCCTCTCCATCCTCCTCCTCCTTCCTTGCTGTGTGTCTGCCCGCCCTCCCCTGGCCCTGGGCCTGTCCCTGTCCCTGTCCCTGGCCGGGTGTCGCTATCTCACTCTCTGGTTCTTTGCAGATGGACGTAGTTTACACATTCCAGACCGGCGCCTCCTCTTTGCAGGGAGCCCTCAGGAGACAGCCTTCCATCGTGAGCCAGCACCACGATGTAAAAAATGTTTCTAGCCCAACCCATGTAGCTCTTTCCTCCGTCAATTCCACTCCCACCACTTCTGCTGTTGCTGCTGCTGCATCTCCTCCTGCGGGCAGTGAGTGATGGTCTCTATTACAATGCATGACTTTAATAACACTGAGAGCACCTGCACCCCCCTAACCCCGCCTGGTTCTCTCCCTCTCAGCCTTCACTCACACACTCAGTCCCCAACCTGAAGGACGGGGCGGGAAACCCTTCAAAACCCCAGTTTTTTATGCTGTTAACAAAGTTACAAACCTTTCTGGTCCTTTCCCCCCCAGTTCCTCGTTGCTTCCTCCAGTTTTACCTCTTCTCCTCCTTTGCAGGGCTGGTGTTTGAGCCCACCCTCCTGAGGGCGGGCAAAAATTGGCAGTTCTTGCTCAAAAACCCCCAAGTTCACGAGCATTGCTGGGAGAAGGGCAAGGCTGAGCCCAAATCCTGCTGGTTCTTCCCACTGCCCTGCCCTGGGACACCCAGGGATGGGCAGAGGAGTTGCTTGAAATCTCTTCTGGAGGCAGAGTGGCCGCTGGGGCTGTCCCAGGGCTGGCTGAGCCACGGCCAGGGGGGACAGGCAGGATTTGCTCCTGCCCTGGGGGTGCTGCCTGTGCACAGCCCTGCCCGTGGCTCAGCTGGTGACACCTGGGGGCTGCTGTCCCCCTCTCTGTCCCCACCTGGGGACACCCCTGTGCTGCCCTGGGGCTCTGCTGGTGCCCAGGGCAGCCAGAGGACCCCCAGTGCCCACCTTGCTCTGCACACGCTGGATCCCAGGCGTGCAGACACTGCTCTGCATGGAAAAGGGCACGGAACACAACTCCTGCTGGATCCCAGTGGGAATGCTGGGTCCTGGATCTGGCACTGGGTCCCCAGACCCTAAAAAAAGCCCTCTCTGTGTTCATCACAGGCTGCTCTGCACGTGCTGGATCCCAGGGTGTGCAGACACACAACTGTGCATGGAAATGGGCACGAGGCCACACTCCTGCTGGATCCCAGTGGGAATTCTGGGTCCTGGATCTGGCACTGGGGTTTCAGACCCCAAAAAAGGCCCTGCCTGGTACAGGACTCTCTGTTCATTATGAGCTGCTCTGCACGTGCTGGATCCCAGGGCGTGCAGACACACAACTGCGCATGGAAATGGGCAGGGAAGCCACACTCCTGCTGGATCCCAGTGGGAATTCTGGGGCCTGGATCTGGCACTGGGGTTTCAGCCCCCAAACAAGGCCCTGCCTGGTACAAGCCTCTCTGTTCATTATGAGCTGCTCTGCACGTGCTGGATCCCAGGGCGTGCAGACACACAACTGCGCATGGAAATGGGCAGGGAAGCCACACTCCTGCTGGATCCCAGTGGGAATTCTGGGGCCTGGATCTGGCACTGGGGTTTCGGACCCCAAAAAAGGCTCTGTCTGGTGCAGGGCTCTCTCTCTGTACATGCTGGATCCCAGGGTGTGCAGACACACAACTGTGCATGGAAATGGGCAGGGAAGCCACACTCCTGCTGGATCCCAGTGGGAATTCTGGATCCTGGCTTTCCAGACCCCCAAAAAAGCCCCTGTCTGATGTAGAACCCCTCTGTGTGGGGTGTTGGGGCTGGTGAGCACGTGGGCTGTGTCTGCAGGCTGGGAGCAGGGAGTGTGGCTCTGCTGGATAATTGGCTTTTTTATTGCACAGTCACTTCTCCTGTTCTCTGATGAGAGGAAAACCCTCGGTGCCTTTCTGGAGAGCTTTCAGCCTCTGCTGTTTATGCACTGTGGGGGAGGAGAGAGAATTTGGGATAATTTTGTTTTCTCTCTGTTTAGCTGACTCTGAGGCTGGCAGCTGATTGAGTTTAACCCCAGCAATTCTGGAGCAGCACAGCTGCCTCCTGCATCTGGGAAACCCTCCAGGATTTCCTGGTGGAATAAAATCTGCTTAGAGGGGCTCAGAGCAGAGGGTGTGCAGGGGGGGTGAGACCAAAATGCAGCTTTTTTGCAGTCTGTGGATCCATGTTTTCCCCATTTTGCAGCGAGGGAATAGAAAACTTGGATAGCTCATGCAAACTTCACCAGGAGCTAACCCAGGTCTCCAAATCTCCTGCTGTTTTCTTGCCTGGATTTCTGTCGTTTCCCTCTGCTGCTTCCATCTCTCCCAAAGCTCCTCTTCCCTCCAGGCAGATCCGTGGTGTCCCTCTCCCGTGGATGAGTTTTTCCAGGGCTGGATTTGCCGTGTCCCTCCTGGAGCTGCTGCAGAGCTGTCAGGAATTGGTGGCCGGGTTTTGGCAGAGCCGAGCTGGGAATTCTGCCCTGGGCAGAGCCGGGGGTGTCACTCCCGAGGGCTCTCACCCAGCACGTGGAGGTTTCACGTTTCACGGGAATCATCCCAAGCCTGGAGGTTGCTTTTGAAGCTTCCAGGTGGAGAGGAGGCGGGAGAAGGAGGGGCTCAGGCTGGAATTCAGCTCATTCACAGCACATTTCCTCCCTTCGAGAGGGAGCAGCTGAATTCATCTCGCAGCAGGTGATGGAGAAGGGAGGAAAATCTGAGGGAAGCTGCAGCAGGAGCTCCTCGAGGGGGCTGAGCAGGAGGCTGAGCACAGATTCCCTGGAATTGCTCCAGGGAGCCTTCCCTGCTGCTCGTGGCAGGGCTGGACAGATCTCCAGGGCTCTGGAGGTGATTCCTTGGGAGAGGAGAGCTCCTGGTCCCACACGAGACGGGGAGGCTTCTGTGGAGCTGCTCCCAAATCTCAGCTTGTGGATGCCACCTCCTCCTGGCTGTGACAGTCCCTGGGCTGTCCTTGGCCACCTCCTTGTGGCTGTGACAGTCACTGACCTGTTCTTGGCCACCTCCTCCTGGCTGTGACAGTCCCTGGGCTGTCCTTGGCCACCTCCTTGTGGCTATGACAGTCCCTGGGCTGTCCTTGGCCACCTCCTCGTGGCTGTGACAGTCCCTGGCTGTCCTTGGCCACCTCCTCGTGGCCCTGGCAGTCCCTGGTCTCCTTGGCTGGGCTGGGTTCGTTCTCCTTGGCTGAGTTGGTGTTTTGGGGCTCAGGATTTGCTGTTCCCAAGTCGTTGCTGATGTGACAGATGATCAGTGCGAGGTGGCCCCTGTGCTGTCCCTGGTCCTGTGCGTTCACCTGAATTGATCCAAGGTCATCAGTGCACAAATCCTCCTCTGAAATGGTTCCCAGCTCCTTCAAATTCCCATTTCTCCAGGCCAGCAGTGCTCCAGGCTCGTGCCCTTGGTGCCTGTGCTCCTGCTCCCTGTGCAGGAGCTCCTGGGGCTGCTTCCAGCTGGGATGGGCCCAGCCCGTGCCAGGAAATCCCTCCTGATCTGAGCCAGGGCCATCCCTGGTGAGAGGGGCAGGGAGGACTCCAGGCACAAGGAAGGAATCCCCTGCTCTGGTTTTGTGGGACCAGAGATCCTCAGGAGGGTTTTGGCTGTGCTGGGGGGAGAATTCCCACCTGGAGGGGTGCCACAGCCAGGGACAGTTCAAATGAAGGGACAGTTGAAATGAAGGGGCAGTTTAAATAAAGGGACAGTTTAAATAAAGAGTTTAAATAAAAGGACAGTTTAAGTAAAGAGACAGTTTAAATGAAGGGACAGTTTAAATGAAGGAACATTTCAAATAAAGAGACAGTTTAAATAAGGATTTTAAATGAAGGGACATTTTAAATAAAAGGGATATTTTAAATGAAGGGGCAGTTTAAATAAAGGGACAGTTTAAATAAAGAGTTCAAATAAGGGACAGTTTGGCCCAGCCCATGTCACAGGATCTGGGGTCTTTGTGGGATCTGTTTGTGCTGTTTCAGCCGTGGTGACACCACGGGAGCAGGAGGGGATGTTCCTCAGGGGTGAGGAGCAGGTGGAGGCACTGAGGAGGAGCAGAGCTCCTTCCATGGGGCTGGAGACCGAGCACAACGACTGGAATTGCTCCAGGGAGCCTTCCCTGCTGCTTCCAGGGGCCTGGGAGAGGAGATGTGGTCCCACACCAGCTCTGCTCCACAGAGCTGAGGCTTCTCTTGCTTCCCTGGAACCCCAGCAGGGCTGGGATGAGACACTTGTCACCCCCTGATCTCAAACCTGTGAGCTGGCAGGGTTTGAGGCTGGAATTCCAGGGATCTGGAGGGAGCAGGGAATGCACCATGCAGGTGTGTCCCCAGAGCTGTCCCTCCCAGTGCAGTGCAGGTGGCAGAGCCGTGCCCTGCTGCTCTGGATCTCCGTGGAGCCTGGATTTCCGTGGAGCTGCCCCAGGGCTCTCCCAGGATCACGTGTGTGTGCCTGGAACTCCTTCAGAATATCCAGCACAATCTGAACTCCTTGCCAGCTCCATCAGATCCCCATTTTTCACTGCCTTTGGGACCCCCTGGGTCTGCTGCAGGTGCAGGGAAGGCTGCAGGGCTCCAGCAGTGTGGGGAACCCCACCCAGCCCTGGGCCTCCACCTCATCCTCCCAGCGCCCACCTGCATCTCTGCTTCCAGGGGCTCCACAAAAGCTGGAAATGCCTTTGGCCAGCCCCGTTCCTTTGCAGAGCTGTAGGAAGGACCCTCCCAGCCCCAGGCAGGGCTCCCTGAGCAGAGTTTGCCCCCGCTCTTTGCCTAACCCACCTCTTTTTGGAGCCGTAGTTCCCCCACTCCTCCCTTGTCCTCGTGTCCGTCCACCCCGGGGCGGGGCGTGCACACCCCCCACACCAAATTAACGACTAATTAACGCCTCCCGGCTTCCATCCGTGCAGTCTGGTGGCCGTTTGGAGCCGTCCTGTGTCTTTCCTTGCAGCTTGTGGGGCTGCTGGGTCCCCAGCAGCCCCGTAGTGCCTGACTGTGCCCCCGGGTCACCGTCGATGTCTCATTTTCGACCGAGCTGTGTGTTCAGTGGTGATTTTGTCGCTGTGGTGTTTATTTTTCGTTCGATGGTTGTCTCATCATTTATTTCACTCTCTCCCTCGAGCCCTGCCCCCTGGCAGCAGCGCTGACCCCTTGTTTTCTCTCCCCACGCCGCCCAGATCAAAGTGGTGAATGCGTTCCGTAGCTCCCTGTACGAAGGCCTCGAGAAACCCGAATCCAGAAGCTCCATCCATAACTTCATGACTCACCCGGAGTTCATCCTGGAGGAAGACGAGCCTCGGACACCATTCCTTGACGGCGCCGAAGACGAGCCCGAGCCCGAGGGACTCCAAAAGCGAGGTGGGGGCAGCCTGGGGGGCCCCACGGCCCTCAACAGGAACAACAACGCCGTGGACAGCGAGTTCAGCTTCCCCGAGCCCGGCAGCCCCTTCCACAGCCTGGAGACCTCTGTTTGACCTTAGAACTTGGGATTCCCCCTCCTCCTCCTCCTCTTCCTCGTCCACCTGGGCCCTGTGTGATCCCAGCACCAGTAACTGATCACACGCTGCGGTCAAACTGCTCATGCCTGTATCATCAGCTGGGGTTTTTGGGGTTTTTTTTTGGGGGGTGGGGGGTTTAATGTGGTTTTTTTTTCTTTTTGTTTTATTTTGTTTTTATTTTTTACCGTTATTTAGCAGTGGGAAGCAGAGTACCACCACGCTGGGTGTTGGGAGAGAGGCTAAGCCAAAAAAAAAAAACCAAAAAAAAAACCAAAAAAAAGAAACCAATTGTGCATCTCCATCCCTGATTTTCCGTGGTACTCACCCAGGGGAAGCTGCCAGGTTCTTTCCTCTCCAAGAGTTGGGCTCCAGGCACCTGGAGCCAGGGGGTTTTCACTTTGGAAAAATGCATGTTCCAAGGAAATTCAAATTGTTGTAGTCTTACACGCCCCCGGCCCGAAGGCTGGGGGTGCACTTGTGACTTGAGTTTATTTTTTTTTGTGTTTTTTTGTCACACGTGGTTTTTAGGGGTTTTTCTCTTTGAATGTTGGGGTTTGCTCTTTGCTTGTGGGATTTGCTCCCCTACCCAGTGGGAAGTGCAGGGGAGGGGCAGTCACTGCTCCAGTGTGAAAATTAAGGAATAAACTAAAAAAATCCCAGCCAGGGGAAGGTGTTTACTCCAAGGTTCAGAGATCCAGGGATGCCCACCAGTCTTCCACCTTGAAAAATGGTACCTGGGCTTCTTCCAGCTCCCCCTCTGTGCGTGCCCACACGTTTTTCTCTCTCTGCTTCCAGACTGGGAGATGAGAAACGAAGGTGGCTTGGCTCTAATTTTGCTGGAGGGGAGAAATTCTGATTTTCCTGCAAAGGTGGAGGTGAAACTGCCGGGGAAAAGGTGGGGAGAGCCCCCCAGTTGTGAGGGATGCAGCTTCTTCCTGAGGAATTCTCTAGGAATCCTCTCCTCCTCCTCTAGGAGAGGCCTCTCTGCTGCTCTGGTCAGGGGGAAACTTGGGGAGAGGATTTTTGCAGCTCTCCCAGCTCCTGCCCTCCAGAGCAGAGAGATGTTTTCCCTTTTTTTGTGTGCTCTTGGGGTCCAGCACCCCTGAGCCTCGCAGGGATGTGGGAGGAGGCTCCAGCCATGCCCAAAAGCTGTGGGAGGCTGAGTGGGAACCTCCTGGATCCTGGGAGGGATCAACCCAGCTGTCTCCTGGATGATCCCAGATTTCCCTGCAGGTTTGGCTTGGCTGGCTGCAGGTCTCCCAGAGAAGGGGATCCCAGGTTTCCCTGCAGGTTTGGCTTGGCTGGCTGCAGGTCTCCCAGAGAAGGGGATCCCAGGTTTCCCTGCAGGTTTGGCTTGGCTGGCTGCAGTCTCCCAGAGGTGATCCCAGATTTCCCTGCAGGTTTGGTTTGGCTGGCTGCAGGTCTCCCAGAGAAGGTGATCCCAGATTTCCCTGCAGGTTTGGCTTGGCTGGCTGCAGTCTCCCAGAGAAGGAGCTGCTGCAGGCTCAGCCTCACCTGGCTGCTTTTTTTTGGAGGTCATCTCCTCCCCTTGGGCCCTGCCTCACCTCCAGCCCTGGGAAGAGCCCAGGGAGAGTCCCTTTCCTTGGAGCTGCCTCTGGATTGTCCCTCTGGCCGTCCCTGGAGCAGGAGGCAGGGCTGGGGCTCCTCCTTCCTCCCTGCTCTCCTCCATCCCCTCTGGCTGAGAGCACGAGGCCATTCCCAGCCCTGGGATTGCAAACCCTGAGGGAGGGTTTTTTGGGCTTTTTTTGGGGTTTTGTTTTTGGGGAAAGGCTGGCTCTGGCTGGGTTCTCCTCCCCTGTCCTGCCAGGAACGCACAGCGGATCTCCCGTGCCTTGTCCGAGCACTGCCTGCAGCACCTCCTGCCACGCCAGCCCAGATCTTTGCCAAGATTTAAGTGTTCCTTAAACCACAACGCAAACCCAGCGTCGCCGTGTCCTTCCCTGGGCTGGGAGGAGGAGGAGGAGGAGGGAAGGACGAGCTCCTTTTTCCTTTTTCCTGCTGAGGAAAGGTCTTTATCCCAAAAATCCCAAATATCCTGAATGTCCCGAGTGTCCCGCCCTGGTGCTGGCGAGCTGGGCTTTGTTCACTGCCAACAGCAAGAGGAAAATGCCACCACTGCCCGTCCCCAGTGCAAATTCAGTGTCCACCCCGTGCCCTCCTGGCCTCCCTCCCCCCAAAAACAACCCAGGGGAGCGAGGGGACCTTGGGTTCAACACCAACAAAAAAAGCCCCAAACGAGGGGTGGTTGTGGGGTTTTGGTTCTGTGCTAAAGGTGACGTTGCTTAAAAAAAAAAACAAAAAAAAAATCACTTTTTCTATTTTAAATACTTGCAAAAAAAAACAAAAAAAAAAAGAGAAGATATGGTGTTCTTACAAGCTTACATAAATATTTATTAAATACTTTTCGGGGGGATGCACCAATATTTTTTTTTTCCTTTTGATATTTTTTTTAATACCTCAGACCTGTTGAAAAAAAAAGAAATAAAAAAAATAAAAGAAAGACTCAAACCAACAACAACTTCAAGCCAACTTTGGAGGCTCTCAAAGTCACTCCCAGAAATCTGTGACTGGCAGGGTTTGCCACAAGGGTCTGGTCGTTCCTTTAGTTTGCTCTATTTTTGTCGTTCTAGTTTCCATTTTAGGAGTGGGGGGAGGGAGAAATAGTGCTATATAAATATTATGCAAAAAAAAAAAAGAAAAAAAAAGAAAAAGAAAAAAAATCTAGTTTTCTTTAGCTCAGAAACTGATATTTTTACGTCAGCCATATGTATTTTGTTTAAAGAAAAAAAAAGAAAATAAATCTTGAGTCCCGCCGCTGCTCGAGGGCAGTTGCAAGGGACACTTTAATTAATTCCGTGGATTAATTAATTCAGCCATCGGATGCCAGTCAGCTTCCTTTTCTCTGAGCAGCCATCTTTCTACTAGCCGTGAGTTGGATGACACAAATGGGGTTTTTTATATAAATATCTATAAATTATGTTGGTGTATGGCTGGTTGCTTCAAGTATAAATGTTTCTTGTGCAGATTTCCTGTAAAGTTTTCTTCTTTTGGGTTAAGTTTCAGTGATATCCTGGCAGCAGCTGACTCTTGGCTTAAGTTATTGAGGACATTACACAAAAAAAATTAAAAAAGAGATTTGGGGGAGATTGGTGCTCCAAAAAAAAAAAGGCATGGTCGGCGGCACGGACTTTTGGGGACTTTCTGCAACATGCCTTGACTAGGGGGAGATATAAATATCCATATAAATATATATTATTATGAATAATTTCTGGTTTTTTTGCTTTGTTTGAACTGCCACGAGTGCGCGCGGAGCAGGGGAGGGCCGGCGCAGGAACAAAGCCACCCCCTCCCTCCTCCTTGTGATCAACTTGCCTTGGAATGCTTTGTTATTAAAACACTCTGAACATCCTTCTGCATCCAGTTCTTGATCCCAGCAGGGCGGATTTGCGGATTTTCCATGGATTTTCCGTGGATTTTCCGTGGAATTGGCGGATTGGTACCAAAGACACCGCGGCCTGTGTGCCGGCCAGGCAGCTCTTGAGGCTTTCTCCTGCTGAGGTTTTCATGATTTGTACAGGGAGAAGGGTGTGGGGAGGGGGTTTAATTTCGAATTTATTTTTTTTTCCCAAAGGTTTTCCGTGCAATAAAGTGAAATTTTCCAACCGATCTCGAGAAGGAAATAAACTAAACCGCGTTTGAGCATGGGCGGCCTTTTCCCCCCTCACGGCCGGGCCTGCAGGCCTCAGCTCCTCTCTGAGGGGAAAAAAATCTGAGCTGGAAAAAAATCCCATCCCAAATGCCCGAGGGCATCTCCAGGTGCCACTGCCAGCTCCTGGCACCCTCTGGCACCGCCCTGGGAAGGGTTTTGTCCCTCTGTGGGGGACACTGGGCCTGCATGGCTTCTGCTCCGTCCCCAAACGCCTCCTGCACCCCCAGATCTCCCCTCAGGGCACAGGGGTGTGGGGAATCCTTTCCCTGCTTTTTTCTTTTTTTGCTCCTTTTCCACCCAAAGAGGATTTTTTTCCCCCCAAACGGGGATTTTGGCATTTCTTCCTCCCCAGCATCCCCGACTGCTCTGCCCAAACCTCCCAATTTTCATCCAGAAAAACCCATGGTTAAAGCTGCCTTTAGTTTATTTCCTCCCCTTCAATAAATATATATATATATACAGTCTGAACTCAACATTTATGTGTGTGTATATATATTTATCCAACGCTCTCACAAAACAAAAAAACTTTCTTTTGAAGAGGGCACGTGGAGCCGAGTTTTTCTCTTTTTTTTTTCCCAGTAACTCAGTATAATAAGCACTGGTATTTTTGTATAAAAAACGGGAGAGAGAAAAAAAGAAAAAAAAAACCAAAATACAAAACAAAAGACTGAATATTATGTGGTATGCATGACATTAAAAAACAAAACAATGGTGGTTTCAAAGCAATATGTACCCTGGTGTGTTTGCCATATCCTAGAGTCCAGCTTAAAGTGCACCTGATCTGTATTGCATTTTGATATTAATCTCTATGTACAATGTTTTGCATGTAATTTATATGGATCTTGGGAGAAAAAAAAAAAAAAAAGAATCTGAATTAATTGTCCGTTGGCTTCTTCTGAGAAAACAAACTCCAAGCAGAGCTGAAACTCCAAAGTGGAAATAGCAGAGTGGTTGAGGGGTGGGAAAAGGGGTGCAGTAAAAAAATAAAAGAAATTAAAAGGGAGAAGGAGAACAGTTTGGAATCAATAAAGCTTTTGGCTCTGAGAAGAAACAATGCATCCAGAGAATAAAATGTGTGACTGTACCCTGCTCTGTGTGTCCGGCAGCTCGGGGGGATCTGTCCCAAACCTTCCCCAGGAATGGCTCCAGTGGGGTGGACACAGGGATGGGGATCCAACCCAAGCTCTCCTCAGTGTGGGGTTTCTGTTATTGAGTCTTCTTCCACCAAGCAAAGTGCCCAAATTGCTGCCAAATGCCACCAAAAAGGAGCAGCTGGGCCCTGAGGGGCTGCCCTGGGTGAGCAGTGCTGGGTAATAATTTATATAGACCCCATGTGTGTTATTCACATTCTCTCAACACAGACATAATTCCCTCTCCAGGATTTTTCCTATGGAAGGCAGTGAGAAGCTTTTGGCTGTTGAAGAGAAAGGAAGCATCCAGAGAATAAAATGTGTGACTGTACCCTGCTCTGTGTGTCCGGCAGCTCGGGGGGATCTGTCCCAAACCTTCCCCAGGAATGGCTCCAGTGGGGTGGACACAGGGATGGGGATCCAACCCAAGCTCTCCTCAGTGTGGGGTTTCTGTTATTGAGGCTTCTTCCACCAAGCAAAGTGCCCAAATTGCTGCCAAATGCCACCAAAAAGGAGCAGCTGGGCCCTGAGGGGCTGCCCTGGGTGAGCAGTGCTGGGTAATAATTTATATAGACCCCATGTGTGTTATTCACATTCTCTCAACACAGACATAATTCCCTCTCCAGGATTTTTCCTATGGAAGGCAGTGAGAAGCTTTTGGCTGTTGAACAGGAATGAAGCATCCAGAGAATAAAATGTGTGACTGTGCCCTGCTCCGGGGGGATCTGTCCCAAACCCTGCCCAGAAACGGCTCCAGTGAGGTGGAAACAGGGATGGGGATCCCCTCCGTGTGGGGTTTCTGTTATTGAGTCTTCTTCCACCAAGCAAAGTGCCCAAATTGCTGCCAAACGCCACCAAAAAGGGGCAGCTGGGCCCTGAGGGGCTGCCCTGGGTTGGGTAATAATCCAGTGGATGGAGGTAGAGAAACATGTTCGCTTCCTAGGGAAAAGCTCTGACCCATTTTTGAGGCTTTTTGAAGGATTTTTGAAACGCGGGGAAGCAAAAAAAAACACAACAAAATCGACCCCAGCTGCGCCTCAGACGCTCGCCCGCCCTCTCCCTTCATGTCAGGCGGGTGAAGCCACTTCCGGCCGCCATCTTTGCAGGGGCGCCATCTTTGAGCTGGGCACCGGGACACGGCGGCGGCCCCGGCGGATCGTGGCAGGGTGGAGAAACACGGCCCTGTTCGCATCATAAGGAAAAGCTTTTTCCTATGTTTTAGGCTTTTTGAAGCTCGGGGAAGCCAAAGCACAGCAAAATTCACTTCTATCCTCCTCAGGCGCCAGCCCGTCCTCTTCCTTCCTCTCGGGAGGATGAAGCCATTTCCGGCTGCCATCTTTGAGCCGGGCAGCGGGACACGGCGGGTCGGGACAGGATGGAGAAACACAACACTGTTCGCTTCAGAAAGAAAAGCTTTGTCCTCTTTTTGAGGCTTTTTGATACGCGGGGAAGCTAAAGAACAGCAAAATCCGCCCCTCTCCTCAGGCGCCAGCCTGCCCTCTACTGCCGGGAGGGTGAAGCCACTTCCGGCCGCCATCTTTGAGCCGGGCACCGGGACCCGGTGGCGGCGGATCGCGGCAGGATGGAGAAACACGGCCCTGTTCCCTTCACAGAGAAAGGCTTTGGCCCCTTTTCGAGAGGCGGGGAAGTCAAAAACCGGCAAAATCCACCCCCGCACCGCCTCACACCCCTCCCTTCCTGTCGGGCGGGCGAAGCCACATCCGGCCGCCATCTTGGCAGCGGGCGCGCTGAGGCTGCGCGCGCGCCGGGCGCCATCTTTGAGCCGGGCACCGGGGACACGGCGGCGGCGGCAGCGGCACGGCGGCCCCCGGGGGCTCGGTAAAACTCCCTGACCGACCGTAAATAGAGCGCTCCGGAGCCCCGCGGCGGCTGGCGGGAGATGAGGGGGGCACGGGCGGGGGGTGCGGCTGGGCCAGGCCCGGCTCCTCCGCCAGGCCGCGCGGCCCCCGCGCCGTCCCCACAGCGGGAGCGGGGACGCTGAGGGGCGAGGCGGGCTCGGCGGGAATAAAGCGGGCTGAAACGGGAATAAAGCGGGGTGAAACGGGAATAAAGGCGGGCTGAGGTGGGAATAAAGGCGGGCTGAAATGGGATTAAAGGCGGCCTGAGGTGGGAATAAAGCCGGGCTGAGGTGGCTTTGCTCCCCCGGGGCTCTGGGGAGGGCGAGCTGCGTGCCCGGGGCAGGCCCGCGGCTTTTTCAGCCCCTCAACAAATTGGCCATCCCAATTTTCCTAAATCTCCTCATTTTCAGGTTAAATCTCCTTTATTTTCCTGTTGTAGCAACGCGTCTGAGGGGCATTTCTAACGTAGTCACCTCATTCCCTGAAGGAACTTCAGGAGCTGAGTAACTCTGGATGCAGCCGGGCTGGATTCCTCCCGGAGCTGCTTAAAAACAACGCCAATCCCTGAATTGTTGGGGTATTTTCTTTGTTTTTTAAGGTTATTCCCCCGGAGCTTGTTAAAAACAACGCGAATCCTTGAATTTTTGGGGTATTTTCCTTGTTTTTTTAAAAATTATTCTTTCCGGAGGTTGTTAAAAACAACGCGAATCGTTGAATTTCTGGGGTATTTTCCTCGTTTTTTAAAAAATTTCCTTGTTTTTTAAAAATTATTCCTTCCAGAGATTGTTAAAAACAACGCGATTCCCTGAATTTTTGGGGTATTTTCCTTGTTTTTTAAGGTTATTCCTCCCGGAGGTTGTTAAAAACAACGCAAATACGTGAATTTTTAGGGTTTTTTTTCTTATTTTTTAAAGGTTTTTTGCTTTGTGACGTCGATTTTTGTTACGGAAACGCCAAAAAGAGAATTTTTTGTTGTTGTTGTTGAAGGGATCGCCTCCGGGTTATTCCCGGAATTGCATTTCCTAAATAAAACCCGGCTCGGAAATATAAAAAATATTAAAAATATGAATAAATAAAAGGGAATTTCGTGGGGAATAAAGGATTTGGGGTTGAATTTGGGCACAGCTGAAGCAGAGCAGGAGGAGTTTTTCCTGGTGGTGTCATTTTGATATTTTTCCAAGGTGAAATTCAGGGAAAATCGAATTTTTTTTCTTAAATTTAATAAAAGATTCCCCTGAGGGGGAGGAACTGTCACAGGAAATCGCTGCCAGGCCTTGGGGTTGAGCTCAGAAACACAGGAAAAAAAAAAAGAAAATAAATTTTCTTTAATTATTCCTGTTTTGTTCAGAGTGGCTGGAGCAGCTTCCCTTGGTTTGGGGTTGATTCCTGAGGAGGAAAGAGAAAAAAATGGCCCAAAAATGGCCAAAAAAGGGGTTAAAATGTGGAATTCCTGCTGCTTTTCCTTCCTTGGCACCTGGTAAACAGGAGGTGAATCACGCCAGGAATTTGAGGCACAAATAAAGCAGCAGGAGAGGCTTTTCCAGGGAAATCTGGGGTTTGGAATCCAAGAATTCCTCAGGGCAGTGCAGGGAAACTTCTTTATTTTCCCTTTAAAAAGAAAAAAAAGGTTGTGTTGGTTTTTTGGCCTGGTTTTTGCTGACCCTCAGCTGCTGCATTTTAATGTATTTTAATTTTTTTTATAAGTAATTGCTTTAAAAAATATTTTTCTACAAAATTTTCATGAATTTCCTGAAGATTTTCATGATTTCTGGACAAAAAAAGGGTTTAAAATTCTCCATAACTTGAGTTCATCCCAGACCTGCTGAGTGCACCAGAGTTACTCATTTTTATTCTGATTTTTTTCTTGATTCCCACCTTGACACCAGTTTAAAATTCGACAAAAAAAAGGTTTTTAATGAACCTTTTTAATAATTAAACCACCTTGATGGAGTTCAGACCTTGGAGGGGTTTTGGGGGGAGCTTTGGGTTGATTATTTTCTGTTGTTGTTGTTTATTTTCAAGGTTTTTATTCCAATCCTTTAAAGATTCACACTCTAAACAGAAATCTGGAAAATGTGGAAGGCAAAAAACGGATTTAATGTCTGAAATAATTCAACCTGCAGGGATTTTCTTTCCCCCCCAGGGTGGTGGATGTAGAAATGTTGCAGTTTTTAGGTGTGGAAAAGACCTGAGGAAAAGGAAATTCCACCTTCCAGCCCGGAATTCCTCCTGCTTTGGGTTGGAATTCCTGATTTCCTCAGGATTTCAGTGCTGCCTTCAGCAAAGCGAAGAATTCAGGCTTGAAATTTGATTTTTTTACTGCCAAGAGCATTGGGGAAAACACCTGGGAAAACTTTGAACTTCCAGCAGAAGGAGCTCCAGGAGTTTTTAGGAGTAAAATCCCTGGAAAAAAATCTGATTTTGAAGCTCCAAAAGTGAATTTAACCCCGTGGAGATGGAAGAACAGGAGGGAACCCTGCACTTAAATCCTCTTTTATTCCCTTTGTCAAGCAGCCACAAAAAGAAAAAACAATAATTAACATAAGAACCCAACTTTTCCTCTCTTTATTTTAGATTTGGGAAAATTCCCTGGCCAAAAAAAAAAAATATCCTGGGAAAATTCATAGTGTTTGTGTGAGTAAAAGGTTGCAACTGCTTCTTCTTGAGCTGTAAAAAACAATTTATTTGGGTTTTGTCCTCCCCAGGGAGTCAGGAATCCTTTGCACAGAAATGTCAGAGGGGTAAAATTGATTTTTATTTGGGTTTCAGCTGCTTTGTTTGCAAGGCTGTGTGGAAAAGAACCCTAAAAATCAGATTTTTAGAAGAATATCCAAAATTCAAGTGTGATTCATGTGAAAAAAAAAGAATAAATTAAATTTTGGTGGCCCCAAAACCCCAATCAGCTGCTGGATCAGAGCTAATGGTGGATGGATGATGAGGGAACAGCACAAATGGCAAAATTGGAATATTCCACAAAAACCCAGTTCATTCCTGCCCGAATTCCCAAACAATTCCTGCCTGAGGGACGGGGATGGATGGGTTTGTCCCTGAGCTGTCCCCAAACCCCCCCAAAATCTCATTTTTTCCCTCAAAAATCTCATTTTTGCCCCAAAAAATCTCATTTTCCCCCTCAGAAATGTAATTTCTCTCCCCAAAAATGTCATTTTTCCCCCCTAAAAATCTCATTTTCCCCCTAAAAATCTCTTTTTTTTTCCCCAAAAATCTCATTTTCCCCCCGGTGAGAGTTTGATTTGCCCAAATTCTGATTTTCCTGCTGCTTTTCTCCTTGTGCTGCTGTCCCTGCCTCTTTTGGGGGGTGTGTGAACACATTTCTGGGTTTATAACCACAAACCTGGGGGGTTTTTTCCTTGCTGTACAGCTCACAAAGACGGGGGAAGGTTTTTGTCTTTTCTTAATAGGTGAAGAAACCTCAGAAGACCCGAAATTGCAACTTACTGAATTAAATAATTACCAAAAAAAAATTAAAATAAATTAAAAAATTTCCCCAGCTGTGGAAGATGGAGCCTCATTTTTGCAGCCACTTTGAATCCTGAGTTCATCTTTTTAAAAAAAAGGAGCTGGGGCTTTTTTTTTTAAATTTTTTTGTTATTTTTTATTATTTTTTTTTATTGGAAGAGCTAAAATATCCCTGGCTGTCTGCAGTGTGCCACATTTGCAATGGACTCAATTCCTCCATTAGTTGTCAGATTGTTCTGAGAGCACCTCAGAGTTTGGAGTTGTTGGCTGAGAGGTTCCCTTGGAATTGTCAGGAGGAAAAAAACAAACAAAAAAGGCAAAATTCAAAAATTCTTTGTGCCCCTTTGTTGTTCATTGACGGACTCCTTCGGCCTACAGGAGAGGGAGCTGCATGGCTGGGCAGAGGTGGGCCCCAGCTCGGCCAGGCCAGGTGAGCTCTGGGGCTGGGACTGGGGGGAATGGGGGGAAATCAGAATGCTCTGGGATTGGGGGGAATGCTCTGGGATTGGGGGGAAATCAGGGGGGAAACGCTCTGGGATTGGGGGCAATCCAGTGGGATTGGGGGGAACCCTCTGGGATTGGGGGGAAAATCAGGGGAAAAATCCTCTGGGATTGGGGGAGAGTCAGGGAAAAAATGCTCTGGGATTGGGGGGAATGCTCTGGGACTGGGGGAAAAATGCTCTGGGATTGGGGGGAAAGTCAGGGAAAAAATCCACTGGGACTGGGGGAAAAATCCTCTGGGATTGGGGGAAAATCAGGGAAAAATCCACTGGGATTGGGGGGAAAGTCTGGGAAAAAATGCCCTGGGGTTGGGGGAAAAATTCCCTTGGATTAGGGGAAAAAAAATCCCCTGGGCTTGGTATCGATAGTGTAGTATGAAGTAATAGATTGTAATAATGATATTAAAATATTTATTTCCTTTATTATTAAAGAATTCCTGTATCATTGATAACCCAAAATTACACCCAATATTGGTGCCTCTCTTTTGGGTCACCCCCTGATTTTTTGGGGTCACCCCCTAATTTGTCTCCACCTCAAGACCCAGAACTATTACTAAGATCACAAATTAGGATTTATTCTGACAAAACCCCCGCAGTTCTTCCCAAACCTGACAAAAAATTGTCTTAAAAACCAAAATTTTCAACCAATTCATCTTAACACCCCTGGGGTTTCCCCCAGCCCCAGCTCAGTGATCAGGACCCCCACCCCATCTCCCCGCAGGGTCCCTGCTAGGAGGCAGCAGTGGCAGCTGAGCAGGAGCCCCTGGGAAGGCGCTGCTGCCCGGGCTGGGGCAGAGCCAGGAGCCCCAGCATGTCCAGCCAGGGCGACGACTGCTACTTCTACTTCTACTCCACCTGCAACAAGGTGAGGCCAGCTGGGCAGGGGCAGGGGAACAGCTCCTCTTCAGGCATTTATTGATTTATTATTGGTTATTGGTTCGTCCTTCAGCTCCACTTCTGAAACCTGGGGGGTTTTTTCCTTTCCAGCCCATGTATTTTTTTAAGCTCTGTGCGTTTCCCATCCCATTTTTAACCTTTGTCCCTCTCCTATCCCATTTTTTAACCCTGTGCTTTTTCTATCCCGTTTTTTACCTTTATCCCTTTCTCATCCCAATTTTTAACCTGTGTGTTTGCCCATCCCATTTTTAACCTTTGTCCTTTTCCCATCTCATGTTTAACCCATGGCCTTTTCCCATTCCATTTTTAACCTATGTGATTGTCCATTTTTTTAACCTGTGTGCTTTTCCCATCCCATTTTTAACCTTTATCCCTTTCTCATGCCTTTTTTAACCTTTGTCCCTTTCCCATCCCGTTTTTAACCTCTGTGATTGTCCATTTTTTAACTTGTCCTTTTCCCACCCCATTTTTACCCCATATCCTTTTCCCACCTGTTTTTTTTTTCCCCTGCACCGTTCTCCTTCCCACACTCCTCTCTCCGTGACACCGAGTGTGTTTCCCATTTTTTGCTGATTCCCTGTGGATTCCAGGGCGATTCCTGCTCCCCCACACCCCTCTCTCCGTGACACCGAGTGTGTTTCCCGTTTTTTGCTGATTTCCTGTGGATTCCAGGGCGATTCCTGCTCCCCCACACCCCTCTCTCCGTGACACCGAGTGTGTTTCCCATTTTTTGCTGATTCCCTGTGGATTCCAGGGCGATTCCTGCTCCCCCACACCCCTCTCTCCGTGACACCGAGTGTGTTTCCCATTTTTTGCTGATTTCCTGTGGATTCCAGGGCGATTCCTGCTCCCCCACACCCCTCTCTCCGTGACACCGAGTGTGTTTCCCATTTTTTGCTGATTTCCTGTGGATTCCAGGGCGATTCCTGCTCCCCCACACCCCTCTCTCCGTGACACCGAGTGTGTTTCCCATTTTTTGCTGATTCCCTGTGGATTCCAGGGCGATTCCTGCTCCTTCCGGCACTGCGAGGCCGCCCTGGGCAGCGAGACCGTGTGCACGCTGTGGCAGGAGGGGCGCTGCTTCAGGAATGTCTGCAGGTTCAGGCACATGGAGATCGATGTGAGTGCCCCCAGACCCCTCCTCACCCCAAAAATCCCTGCAGGGACCAGTGGCCCTTCCCAGCAGGGGTTTACAGGGCTTTGGGTACCAGGAGGGAGGTAGAGGAGGAATAAAATCAGTTTTTAAGGTGTTTCTCAGTAGGAAATGTTGGTGTTAAATGATGTTATTCCTTAATTTTTTTTGCCAGATCCTATTCTTTGAATGTGGTGGGAAACAAATTCCTGGGAGCTGGAATTTATCTCCAAGTTTTTTATCCTAAGCTCTTCCTAAATTTTTTATTCTGAGCTCTCTCCAAATTTTTTATCCTGAGCTCTCTCCAAATTTTTTATCCTGAGCTCTTCCCAAATTTTTTATCCTGAGCTCTTGGAATTCCTGAGAACCGGAATTTCTCCCCAAATTTTTTTTATCATGAGCTCTCCTCACATTTTTCATCCTGAGTTCTTGGAATTCCTGAGAACTGGAATTTATCTCCAAATTTTTTATCCTGAGCTCTCGCCAGATTTTTCATCCTGAGCTCTTGGAATTCCTGAGAACTGGAATTCTTCCCAGTTTTTTTATCATGAGATCTTCCCAAATTTTTTATCATGAACTCTTGGAGTTCCTGAGAACTGGAATTTCTTCCCAAATTTTTTATCCTGAGTTCTCCCTAAATTTTTTATCCTGAGCTCTTGGAATTTCTGAGAGCTGGAATTTCTCCCCAAATTTTTTGTCTTGAGCTCCTGGAATTCCTGAGAGCTGAAATTCTTCCCAATTTTTTCACCCTGACCTCTTGAAATTCCTGAGAGCTCAAATTCTCTCCAGATCCTTTATCCTGAGCTCTTGGAATTGTCTAAGATGAAAAAAAAAAAATGGGAAGGAGCTAAAGCTCTGAAAGGTAAATTCAGGTGGATTTCACCAGCAATTAAAACCTGAAAATTGAATTTTTTCCCTGTGAATAATCCCATCATTTTGGATTTTTTATTAATTTAACTCCTTGACAGTGTCCTCCCTTTTCCAGCTGAATGCTAAGAAAAATTCCACCCAAATTCCATTTTTCCACTCTCTCACTTTTACCTTGAATTCCTGCTTTTCCCCACAAATATTTGGAGCTGGGCTTTGTGTTTTTTCCCAGAAAAAGCGGAGTGAGATCGCCTGCTACTGGGAGAACCAGCCTGGGGGCTGCCAGAAGCACAACTGTGCCTTCCACCACGCCAAGGGCCGATACGTGGATGGGCTCTTCCTGCCCCCCAGCAAGAGTGAGTTGTCCACCTCTTTTTCCCTCAAAACATCCAAGAATTCATGCTGAATATTCCATAAAATTACCTGGATTTCATCTTCGTTCCCCCCAGAAAAACTGAATTTTCCACTTCCTTTTTTCAACAAAATATTAAATAATTCATGCTGAATATTCCAGTAAATTACGTGGATGGGCTCTTCCTTCCCCCCAGCAGAAGTGAGTTGTCCACCTCTTTTTTCCCTCAAAACATCCAAGAATTCATGCTCAATATTCCTTAAAATTACCTGGATTTGATCTTCCTTCCCCCCAGCAGAAGTGAGTTGTCCACCTCTTTTTTCCTCAAAACATCCAAAAATTAATGCTGAATATTCCAATAAATTGTGTGGATGAGCTCCTCCTTCCCCCCAGTAAAACTGAGTTTTCCACCTCATTTTCCCTCAAAATATCCAAGAATTAATGCTGAATTTTCCTTAAAATTACCTGGATTTCATCTTCCTTCCCCCCAGCAAAACTGAGTTCTCCACCTCTTTTTTCAACAAAATATTAAATAATTCATGCTGAATATTCCAGTAAATTATGTGAATTTGATCTTCCTTCCCCCCAGCAAAAGTGAGTTTTCCACCTCATTTTCCCTCAAAACATCCAAAATTCATGCTGAATTTTCCTTAAAATTACCTGGATTTGATCTTCTCCTTTAATCCCTTTATGGGTGAGGAATCCAGAACTGAATCCAGCAGTGTTCTGTTCTCACATTTACAACTTAAGGCTCAAAATTTGGGCTATTTTTCCTTTGCAGCCACACTTCCTGAAAGGGAGCTTTGCAGTCAGGGAAAAGGAGCAAAATTCTAATTTTAAAAATTCTGTTCTGTAATTTTTGCTTGGTGATTTTTGCTTTTCGAGCTTCCTTTCCCCTTTCCAGCAAAACTGAGTTCTCCACCTCTTTTTTCAACAAAATATTAAATAATTCATGCTGAATATTCCAGTAAATTATGTGAATTTGATCTTCCTTCCCCCCAGCAAAAGTGAGTTTTCCACCTCATTTTCCCTCAAAACATCCAAAATTCATGCTGAATTTTCCTTAAAATTACCTGGATTTGATCTTCTCCTTTAATCCTTTTATGGGTGAGGAATCCAGAACTGAATCCAGCAGTGTTTAATTCTCAAATTTACAACATTTGGGGTAAAAATTGGGAATATTTTTCCTTTCCAGCCACCCTTCCTGAAAGGCAGCTTTGCAGTCAGGGAAATGAACTGAACTTCTAATGTTCATTTTTTTCCTTGCTCTGTGCTGGGTGATTTTTGCTTTTCAAGCCTCCTTTCCCCTTCTCCTTTAATCCCTTTATAGATGGGGAATCCAGAACTGAATCCAGCAGTGTTTAATCCTCAAATCCACAACACTTGGGGTAAAATCTGGGATGTTTTTCCTTGGAGCCACTCTTCCTGAAAGGGAAATGAACTTCATTTCAGGGAAATGAACCGAAATTAAAATTTAAATTTTTTCCCTTGCTCTATGCTTGGTGACTTTTGCTTTTCAAGCTTCCTTTCCCCTTCTCCTTTAATCCCTTTATGGGTGCTGCCTCCAGCAGTGTTTAATTCTCAAATTCACAACATTTGGGGTAAAATCTGGAATATTTTTCCTTTGCAGCCACTCTTCATGAAAGGCAGCTTTGCAATCAGGGAAATGGACTGAAATTATTATATTTTTAATTTTTTTTATGAAATTAATTTTAATTTTTTTCCCTTGCTCTATGCTTGGTGATTCTGGCTTTTCAAGCCTCCTTTCCCCTTCTCCTTTAATCCCTTTATGGGTGCTGCCTCCAGCAGTGTTGTATCTCAAGCCCACACCTTCAAGCTCCATCTCAGGAACATTTCCTTGCAGCCAGCCTGCCCAGCCCCGCCGAGGCGGCCGAGGAGGAGGTGAAGCTGCTGCAGCTGCAGCAGAACAAGCTGGCGCTGCAGCTGCAGCAGAACAAGCTGGCGCTGCAGCCCAGCCCCTCGGCGCCGCTGCGGGGGCTGCTCAAGGCCGAGGGCTCCGAGAGCGTGCCCAGCCCCACCCACCCGCCCCTGGTCATCAACGCCGCCGACGACGACGAGGATGATGATGGTGAGAAATCCAGAGTTTATTGCAAATGATTCCGCTGTAAATCGGGAGGGAAATCGCAGAATTTGGGGTTTAACATGCAGGGAAAAGTGGTGATGTTGTTGTTGGTGTTGAAATATTGAACCACCTGAAATTAAAGCATTTTTGCTGAATCCCTGCTGCACCCCGCCGAGGCGGCCGAGGAGGAGGCGAAGCTGCTGCAGCTGCAGCAGAACAAGCTGGCGCTGCAGCTGCAGCAGAACAAGCTGGCGCTGCAGCCCAGCCCCTCGGCGCCGCTGCGGGGGCTGCTCAAGGCCGAGGGCATTTCATTTTGGGCATAAATAGTTTCATTTTGGGCATAAATAGTTTCATTTTGGGTGTAAGTAATTTCAGTTTGGGTTCTAAATAGTTTCATTTTGGGTCTAAATAATTTCATTCTGGGTCTAAATAATTTCGTTTTGGGTCTAAATAATTTCATTCTGGGTCTAAATAATTTCGTTTTGGGTATAAGTAATTTCATTTTGGGTCTAAATAATTTCAGTTTGGGTCTAAATAGTTTCGTTTTGGGCATAAATAGTTTCGTTTTGGGTCTAAAAAATTTCATTTTGGGCATAAATAGTTTCATTTTGGGTCTAAATAATTTCGTTTTGGGCATAAATAGTTTCGTTTTGGGCATAAGTAGTTTCATTTTCGGCATACATATTTCCATTTTGGGTCTAAATAATTTCGTTTTGGGTCTAAATAATTTGATTTTGGGTCTAAATAATTTCGTTTTGGGCATAAATAATTTCGTTTTGGATATAAATGATTTCGTTTTGGGCATAAATAATTTCGTTTTGGATATAAATGATTTCGTTTTGGGCATAAATAATTTCATTTTGAGTACAAATAATTTCGTTTTGGGTTTGATTTTCCCTTCCAGACCAGCTTTCTGAAGAAGGAGAAGACACCAAAACCCCCGTGCAGCCCCCAGCCACAGAAGCCCACAACGGCCTGAGGGTGATTTCCACCAGGAAACCCAACCCCAGTGCACAGCCAGGTATTGCAGGGGCTGCAGGGCCACAATTCCACATCCCAGAGCAAAATATTGCTGAGATAAAGCAGGGCCAGGGATGCTGGGTCCAGGAGGTCACTCCCTCCAAAGCAGGGGAAACCTCCTGGCTTGGTTTGGTTTGGTGGGACAGAATGGAGTGAAAGTGGAATTGAGAGGGGTTTAGGTGGAGTCAGAAGAATTTTGGGAGGTTTAGGTGGAGTTTGGGGAGGTTTAAGTGGAGTTGAGAGGAGTTTGGTGGGGTTCAGGTGGGGTTCAGGTGGAGTTTGGGGGGGTTCAGGTGGAGTTTGGGGGGGTTCAGGTGGAGTTTGGGGGGGTTCAGGTGGAGTTGAGAGAGTTTAAAGTAGAGTTGAAGGAGTAAAAGTGGAATTGTGAGGAGTAAAAAGTGGAATTGTGAGGAGTAAAAAGTGGAATTTTAAAGAGTTCGAGTGGAGTTGAAATGGGGTTAAGTGGAGTTCAAAGCCTGAAAATGTCCCTTCAGGCATTGTGGAAATCCAGACCCATGGAATTCAGGAATCTTCAATCCCTCTCCATGACTTTGTGCTCAGAAGTGTGGATTTTCCCTTGGAGGCTGAAAAAAGCTGCCACTTTTCCAAAATCCCCCCTGTTCTGGGGCTTTTCAGCTCCTGGGGAGTGCTGAGAGGGTTTATTCCCAATATTCTGGGAGGATTCACCCCAATTCCCTGAACTCTTCTGTGCTTCCAGATGACAACTTGAATTTTGGAATCAAAACCTTGGAAGAGATCAAACTGAAGAAACTCAAGGAAAAAGCCAAAAAACAAGGTGGTGAGTTAATATCCCTAAAATCCTCCTTATCCTCCTCTTTCTCTTCATTCTTGACTTTAATCCTGATTTTCCTTGGATAATTTGCAAGGAAATTTGCAAAGGAATTATTTTTTTTTGCAAATTGGGAGTTGTCCATATTTTCTGTTCAGGATTTTCTGCCCATATTTTCTGTTCAGGATTTTCTGTCCAGGATTTTCCCCTTGGGATTTTCTGTTCTCCTTTCTCCTGCTTCTTTCTGCATGTTGATTGAGGCTTCAGGGTCGCTCTGAGTCCCACTGAGGTGCTCTCCTGTCTCATTCCCCACCCAAAATTGGGATTTTTGCCACTTTTTTCAACTTTTTCTCTCGTTTTTTAGTTCAAGTCCTGAAGTCCCTGAAGGAGAGGCTGGGGCTGCCCTCTGAGCAGAGCAGCACTGAGACAGGTGAAAATTGCATTTGAAATATTCCTTCTTTTTTGTTTTGTTAATTTGAAAGGATAACTGGCTCTGATTTTCCAAACCCAGGTGGTTTAAAGGAGGGGGAGGAATTTGTTGTTCAGGGAATTGGGATTGTTCAGACTGAGGAGGAGCAATTTTGGGGTGATCTCATTGTGGCCTGAAGGAAAGATGGAAAGGGAATATTCCCAAGGAATGGAGGCCCAGGATGAGGGGAATGGCTGCAGACTGATGGGGTTGGATGGGATTTTGGGAAGGAATCCCTCCCTGGGAGGGGCTGGGATGGAATTCCCAGAGGAGCTGAGGCTGCTCCATCCCTGGGAGAGTCCCAGGCCAGCTTGGAGAGTGGATAAAATGGAAAAAATGGGTAAAATAAATCAAATTACAGCCTGGGACAGTGGGAGGTGTCCCTGCCCATGGCACTGGATGATCCCTCCCATCCCAACCCAATCCAGGGTCCCCTGGGCTGCTTGGGATGGAATATTGAGAATAAATCCCTCCCTGAATTCCCAGGAATCCCTGGCTGCCCCTGGATCCCGGGAGCCCCCAAGGCTGGATGGGGTTTGGGGCAGTGGCACGGGCTGGGGATGGGATGATCCTGAGGATCTCCCAACCCAAACCACTCCAGAATTCCATTAAAAACCCCAATTTCAGCACTCCAGGCTCATTCCCAGGGAATCTGTGGCTGCCCCATCCCTGGAGTGTCCCTGGGCAAGGGAAAGTGTCCCTGGATGATCCTCAGAGTCCTCCCAGCCCAAGGAGCACTGAGAGCCCCCAGTCCCAAATCCCCTCAGTGCTGGGAGCAGTCCTGGAGGCTTTTCCCCCTCCCTGATCTCTCCTCATTCCCGGGCTGGATTTTCCAGACAAAGCTGCCAAGCCCATCGAGGAGATCCGGGTGAAAACCCTGGAGGAAATCCGCCTGGAGAGAGCCCACCAGAGGAGAGGAGAGCCCCCAGCCAAAATCCCAGGAGAAGGAAGGAAAGCTGAAGATCCCAATCCAGGAGCAAAACCCTCCCCTGCTGCCCGCAGCAAATCCCTGAGTGGAGCCCTGGCGGAAAAAAACCACAAAAGGTCGGGAGAGGAGAAGGAAAAAGCCGAGGAGTTGAGCAGCAGGGCCAGAAGTGAGGCTGAGCCCAGGAAGCAGAGCAGCCCTGCTGCAGCTGGGGCAGGCAGGGTGCAGCTGCCCGAGGCTGGAAGAGCCAGAGGGGCCGGAGAAGTTCGGATCAAAACCCTGGAGGAGATCAAGAGGGAGAAGGCGCTGAGGCTGCAGCAGAGCGGGGAGAACATCCCTGCTGCTCCTGGAGGAGCTCCTGCTGAGGCTGCCCTGAGGGGCAGGAAACTGCTGCGGGTCACCAGGCTGCTGGGTGAGAGGGGGCCTGGGGCTGGGGCTGGGATGGGGTGGGATGGGGATTGGGATGGGCCCTGGGGCTGGGGTGGGGATTGGCATGGGCCCTGGCTGGGGATTGGGATGGGCCCTGGGGCTGGGATGGGGATTGGGATGGGCCCTGGGGCTGGGATTGTTCCTGGGGCTGGGATTGGGATGGGCCCTGGGGATTGGGATGGGCCCTGGGGATTGGGATGGGGATTGGGATGGGCCCTGGCTGGGGATTGGGGATTGGGATGGGCCCTGGGGCTGGGATGGGGATTGGGATGGGCTCTGGGGCTGGGACTGGGATTGGGATTGTTCCTGGGGCTGGGATGGGCCCTGAAGGTGGGATTGAGATTGGGATTGGGATTGGCCGCAGGGGTTGGGATAGGGATTGTCCTCAGGGGTTGGGATTGTCCTCAGGGGTTGGGATTGTCTTCTGGGATTGGGATTGGCCCTGGGGGTTGGGATTGTCCCTGGGAATTCTTCTCCTCCTTCAGAACTCTGCTTTCCACCTGGGAATTCTGATTGTTCTTGGGAATTCTGATTCTGCTGGGGATTTGGATTGTCCTCTGGGGTTGGGATTGGGATTGTCCCTGGGGATTCTGCTCCTCCTTCAGAATTCTGCTTTCTGCCTGGGAATTCTGATTGTTCTTGGAAATTCTGCTTCCCTTTGGGAGTTCTGCTTTATCCCTGGGAGTTCTGAGCATCAACAATAGTAATAATAATAATAATAATAATACTCCATGGTGGGACTGAAGGAGAGAGAAAATCCTGCAGGAATTGCTTCCTGTTAATACAAATAGGGAAATAACCCCCCCAAGAAAACAAAAAAAACCAATTTTTTGATGTTTTTCTTTGTTTAAAGCACCTGGAAGAGAAGAAAAAATGATCGTGGAGCTGAACAAACCTTCCCCCAAAAACGGCTCTGCCCCTGCTGAGGTGAGTCTGAACAAATTTATGACAAAAAATTCACATTTCTGATCGGTCCCTCCCATTTCTGATCAATCCCTCCCATTTCTGATCAATCCTTGACATCTCCATAGGTTTTTATCCCAGGATTTTTCCCCTAAGAACCCTCTTGGTGTGTTTTTCCCCTGACAGAATTCAGGGAATGCTGGAATTCAGGTGAAGAGCCTGGAGGAAATCATGTGGGAGAAGCGGCAGCAGAAACAGCGGCAGGAGGAGAAACTGCAGCAGGGAGCTGGGGCAATTCCAGCTGAAAACCAGGAAAAAACCCAGGACAAAAACCAGGAAAAAGGCCCAGGATCAGGGAGCCCCGAGGCTGCTGTGGGGCCAGCCCAGGCGGGCAGGAGGAGAGGGGGAAAAGCCCCCGAGGATGGAGCCGGAACCCCGGAGAAGGAGCCGGGGAAAAAGGGAGCTCAGCTGCCCGAGAGGAGAGGCAGAGGTGGGAATGGGAATGGGAATGGGGAATGGGGAATGGGAATGGGGCTGGGAATGGGGAATGGGAATGGGGAATGGGAATGGGGAATGGGAATGGGGAATGGGAATGGGGCTGGGAATGAGGAATGGGAATGGGGAATGGGACTGGGAATGGGGAATGGGGGCTGGGAATGAGGAATGGGGAATGGGAATGGGGAATGGGAATGGGGAATGGGACTGGGGAATGGGAATGGGGCTGGGAATGGGGACTGGGAATGGGAATGGGGCTGGGGAATGGGAATGGGGAGCTGGGAATGGGGCTGGGTGGGAATGGGGCTGGGGAATGGGAATGGGGCTGGGTGAGAATGGGAATGGGCTGGGTGGGAATGGGCTGGGGGAGGCTGGGAATGGGCTGGTGGGGGTTGGAGTTTAAGGAATGGTCTGTGTGGGGTTGGGGTTTATGGGATGGTCTGGGGTTGGGAATGGGCTGGGTTGGGGTTTAGGGAATGTTCAGTGTGGGGTTGGGGTTTATGGGAATGATCTGGGGTTTGGATTTGTGGGACTGTTCAGTGTGGGGTTGGGGTTTAGGGGAATGGTCTGTGTGGGGTTTGTGGGAATTGTTTGGGGTTGGGGTTTGTGGGAATGCTCAGTGTGGGGTTGGGATTTATGGGAATGCTCCATGTGGGGTTGGGATTTGGGAGCTCAGCTGCCTGAGAGGGAGAGACAGAGCTGGGGGCTTGATAAAAGGATTTGATACATGAAGGGATTTGATAAAGGGGTTTGATTGATAAAGGGGTGTGACTGATGAAGGAAGGAATTTGGTTGATAAAGGGATTTGATAAAGGGGTGTGGTTGATAAAGGGGTTCATAAAGGAAGGGATTTGATAGATGAAGAGGTTGGATGGATAATTTTTCCCTTTTTCCCTCCTTTCCCTGCACCCCAGCCAAATCCAAGGTGTGCCTGAAGCCTCTGGATGCCAAAGCCCCTCCCAAGCAGCCCCTGAAGAGGAAGGGCCCCGAGGGCCCCCCCCCTGCAGTGGTGGCAGTGAAGCCACTCAGTGCCACCAGCGGGGACACCCAGGAGCCCCCCGCCAAGGTGAGGCCCCAAACCCCCCAGATTCCCAAAAAAAAAAAGGAAATCTGAAATTTTCTCCCTCTCTCCCAGCCCTTTTCACCCCAGAACCCTCAGGGGCAGCACATTCCTGCTGCGGAGGCATCTCCAGAATTCCCTGCTGGGATTTGGGAATGTTTTGTCCTTTCCAAGGCAAAAATTCCTTAAAAAACCCAAAATTCCTCATTTCAGGAATGCTCTGCTTCAGGTGAAGCACAAAAGGAAGAATCTCCTAAAATTTTGGATTTTTTAGGTGCTAAAACCTCTCAGGTTCTCCAGAATTCTCTGCTGGGATTTGGGAATATTTTGTCCTTTCCAAAGGCAAAAATTCCAGATTCCTCATTTCTGCAATGTCCTGCTTCAGGTGAAGTGGAAAAGGAAAAATTTGGGATTTTTTAGATCCTCAGACTTGTCCTGCTCCTCATTCTCAGGTTGTTCCCCCTTCTCCAGAGGACAGCCCGGGCTCCAACCCTCGGAGGGAGAATTCCCAGAGCAGGTAACCCCAAATCCCAACCCCAAATCCCCAATTCCCTTCTCCTTGCTGCCCCCAGGGATGGACGTGGGCTGGGGGAAATCCCAAAATCCTACAGAGGAGCCCTTAATTGTAATTAATGTCTGTGCATTAATGTCTGGGGTTCTACAAATGCTGCACCTGGGTACCCCAAAAACTGATCCTGGACTCCCCAGAACTGATCCTGGACTCCAGAATTGATCCAGGACTTCCCAGAACTAATCGCAGACTCCAAAACTAATCCTGGGTACCCCAAAACTGATACAGGGCCCCAAAAGTGATCCAGGGCTTCCCAAAACCAACCCCAGCCCCTCCAAAACTAGTCCAGGACTCCCCAGACTCAATCCAGGGCTTCCCAAAACCAACCCCAGCCCCTTTAACCCAATCCCAGCCCCTGCCAAATCCAACCCCAGCCCCCCAAACTTAATCCAAGACTTCCCAAACCCAGTCCCAGTCCTGAAAACCCAATCTCAGGCCCCCAAAACCAATCCAAACCCAGTCCAGGACTTCCAAAAACCAACCCCAGCCCCTCCAAAACTAGTCCAGGACTCCCCAGACTCAATCCACGGCTTCCCAAAACCAACCCCAGCCCCTTTAACCCAATCCCAGCCCCTGCCAAATCCAACCCCAGCCCCCCAAACTTAATCCAAGACTTCCCAGTCCCAGTCCTGAAAACCCAATCCCAGCCCCTCCAAACCCCTCCAAAACCAGCCCAGGACTCCTCAAACTTAATCCAGGACTCCTCAAAACCAATCCCAGCCCCCCAAATCCAATCCTGGATTCCCAAAACCAATCCTGGATTCCCCAAATCCAATCCCAGCTCCCCAAACTCGAGCCCGGACCCCCAAATCCAATCCTGGACTCCCAAACCCCATCCCAGTCCTGAAAACCCAATCTCAGCCCCCCCAAAATCAATCCAAACCCCTCCAAACCCAATCCAGGACTCCCCAAATCCGACCCCAGACCCCCAAATCCAATCCAGGACTCCCCAAATCCAACCCCAAACCCTCCAAACCCAATCCCAGCCTCCTAAATCCAATTTAGGACCCCACAAACCCACCCCAAACCTTCTCCAAGCCCAATCCCAGCCCCCCCAAATCCAATCCAGGACGCCCCAAACCGACCCCAGCCCCCCCAAACCCAATCCAGGACTCCCCAAACCCAATCCCAGCCTTGAAAACCCAGTCTCAGACCCCCAAAACCAATCCAAACCCAATCCCAGCCCCCCAAATCCAATCCAGGACCCCCCAAACCCAAGCCCAGCCCTCTCCCCTCCCTGCCAAGCCCAGCCTCACCCCCTCAGGCTCCCCCTGACTCTGTGTTCTGTGCCCTGCCCAGCCCCGAGCTGCAGCCCGGCAGCCAGGGCCATTCCCTGGCACACTCCGAGGGCTCTGCCTCTTCCTCCTCCTCCTCCTCCTCGCTGGAGGCTCCCCTGAAGCTGCGGCGCCTGAGCTCGGCCGGCGCCAAGGCCGCGCTCTCGGTGGAGGATGACTTTGAGAAGCTCATCTGGGAGATCTCCGGGGGAAAACTGGAGGCAGAAATCGACCTGGATCCGGGCAAGGACGAGGACGATCTCCTGCTGGAACTGTCGGAGATGATTGACAGCTGAGAGGGGAGGTTTTGGGGGAAAAAAACGACAAAACGGGACAAAAAGACGCGACACCAAAAAAAAAAAAAAATCCTGAAAAAGCAGAATTTCCTCCTCGCATCCCACAGAAATGCTGTAAATGTTGTTGGATCCGTGGAGGAGATCCTTGGCCAGCTGGATTGTTGGATTAGGCAGAGTCTGCTCTCAGTTCTCCCAAAATGCCGGGCTGGGTTTGTGCCAGGGACAGGACAGAGCACTTGGAGCGCCCCGAGGGGCCCAGCCCCATCCCCAGAGCTCCCTCCCGGCTGAGGATCCCAAAAAAGCCTGGAGTTACTGTGTCAACTCTGGACGCCACGGATGGACTCGCATTTGGGGGGAATTCAGGGAAAAGAGGGCAAAGCTGAGGCAGGATCTCGGACCAAAGCCTGCCAGGGTGAGCCTGGCTCGGGATGAGCTGGGGAATTTTGTTTTCCTGGGATCCTGCCATGGGGGGAAAGCAAAATTCCTCCTGGAACTGGGGGGAAAAGCAAAATTCCTGCTGGAATTGGGGGAAAAGGAGCATTGCTTCAAGTGCCTCTGCGTTCTGAGGATTTCTCCCTGCAGTGAACCTCCCACATCCAGCTGGGAAGGGACAAAAAAAACCACCTGGAATGTTCCCCCGTGGCTGCTTCCCTCCTTTCCAGCCCCTGGAGATGGGATTGCCTGGAATCCCCCTGGGTTTGGGTTTTTCATTTCGTTTTGGGGTTGGTTTTTTTTGTTCTTTTTTTTCTGTAAATATTTTATTCTTCCATTTTATATTTGTATGATTCTATTTAAGGGATTAAAGGTAGGCTGCTCACTGTGGTGTCCGTGGGGTTGTTTGTAATGAATGGCATCAAACAGCTTGGGAATGCTGAGTGTTAATTAGGAATTAATGAGGGGGGATCATCCTGAGGGGCTGGAAAATCCTGAGGGAGCTGGGAAGGGGCTGGAGAAAATCTTGAGGGAAATGGGGAAGGTTTGGAGGAGCTGAGGGAGCTGGGAAGGGTTTGGAGAGTCCTGAGGGGGCCGGGAAGGGTTTGGAGAGTCCTGAGGGGGCCGGGAAGGGTCTGGAGAGTCCTGAGGGAGCTGGGAAGGGTTTGGAGAGTCCTGAGGGGGCTGGGAAGGGGCTCAGCCTGGAGCAAAGGAGGCTCAGGGGGAATTTGTGGCTCTGCACAACTCCCTGCCAGGAGGGGACAGCCGGGGGGGATTTGGGATCTGCTCCCAGGGAACAGGGACAGGAGGAGAGGGAACATGGGAGATGTTTTCAGGGGTTTTTTTTTTGCTTTTCGGGTGTTTTGTGACCTGGAGGGATAAATGAACAGGAAAGCTGCGGTGCGGTAAGAGCACAAAAATCACTTTTATTTTAGAGTGGGGTGTCTCAGGGCACAGCGCTGCCGTAGCTCTGAGCCTGGGGAACATTTTGAGGGAATTTTTTTCGATGAACTGCGGTTATTAAAATAAAATAATGGCAAAAAAAACCCCGCAACACTAGCAAGAAAAAAAAAAAAACTAACAAAAAAATCCTAAAAATAACGATTTAAAAAGTAAGAAAAGACGGCTGCCCTCACACCGCCGCTATCCCACAGCGTCCCGCGCTTTCATTTCCCTCACACCACCAGTATCCCACAGTGCCCCGCGCTCCATTCCCCTCACAGTGCCGCCTCTTCTATTCCGTCAGTATCCCACAGTGCCCCGCGCTCCATTCCCCTCACAGTGCCCCCATTCCTGTTCCGCCGCTATCCCACAGCGCCCCGCGCTGTTCTCCCCTCACAGTGCCCCGCGCTCCTCCATCCCCTCACAGCGCCGCTGTCCCACAGCGCCGCCTCTCCTGTTCCGCCACTACCCCACAGCGCCCCGCGCTCCTCCATTCCCTCACACCGCCGCTGTCCCACAGTGCCCCCATTCCTGTTCCGCCGCTATCCCACAGTGCCGCCCCTCTTGTTCCGCCGCTATCCCACAGCGCCCCGCGCTGTTCTCCCCTCACACCACCACTATCCCACAGTGCCCCGCGCTTTCATTTCCCTCAGACCGCCAGTATCCCACAGTGCCCCGCGCTCCATCCCCTCACGGCGCCCCGCGCTCCATCCCCTCACACCGCCGCCGTCCCTCCGCGCCCCGCGGCCCCGCGCAGCCATGGCGTACCGCGGGCAGGGCCAGAAGGTGCAGAAGGTGATGGTGCAGCCCATCGTATCCTGCCGGCGGCGCTCAAGGCGCGGGGGGGGGCGGCGGGGCGGGCAGGGAGCGGGGCGGGCGGGCTCCATGGCGGGGCCCGGGGCTCCCGGCCGCGCTCGGCTCCGTCCTTAACGCTCGGCTCCAGAACCTGATCTTCCGCTACCTGCAGAACGTGAGTGCCCGCGGGGAGCGGCGCTGAGGGCGGCGGGGCCAGCCCTGCCCGGACACGCCGGGCATGGGGCAGCCTCGGGTTCTGTGGGAATCGGCACCCGGGAATGAGCCCGCAGTGCTGGAATTGGGGGTTTTTTATGGAATTCTGGAGTGGTTTGGGTTGGGAGATCCTCAGGATCATCCCATCCCCAGCCCGTGCCACTGCCCCAAACCCCATCCAGCCTTGGGGGCTCCCGGGATCCAGGGGCAGCCAGGGATTCCTGGGAATTCAGGGAGGGATTTATTCCCAATATCCCATCCCAAGCAACCCAGGGGACCCTGGAATGGGTTGGGTTGGGAGGGATCATCCAATGCCATGGGCAGGGACACCTCCCACCCCTCCCACCATCCCAGGGAGTAATTTGATTTATTTTACCCATTTTACCCATTTTATCCACTCCAGGCTGGCCTGGGACACTCCCAGGGATGGGGCAGCCTCAGCTCCTCTGGGAATTCCATGCCAGCCCTCCCAGGGAGCAATTCCTTCCCAAAACCCTATTTAAACCCATTTAAACCCCATTTAAACCCATTTAAACCCTATTTCTTCCCTTTTGAACCCCATTAAATTCCATTTCTTTCAATTTAAACCTACTTTAAACCCATTTAAACACCATTTCTTTCCATTTAAACCCCATTTCAATCCCATTTAAACCAAATTTAAACCGTATTTCTTTCCATTTAAACCCCATTTAACCCCATTTTAGCCCCATTTCTTTCCATTTTAACCCCATTTTAACCAATTTAACCCATTTTTAACCCCATTTAACCCCATTGAAACCCCATTTAAACCGTATTTCTTTCCATTTAACCCCAATTTAACCCAATTTTAACCCCATTTAAACCCATTTAAACCCAATTTAAACTGTATTTCTTTCCATTTTAACCTCATTTTCAACCAATTTCTTTCCATTTTAACCTATTTAAACCCCATTTAACCCCATTTCCACCCCATTTCTTTCCATTTAAAGTCCATTTAAATCCCATTTCTTTCCATTTAAACCCCATTTAACCCAATTTAAACCCCTTTTAACCCCGTCTAACCCCATTTTAGCCCCATTTCTTTGTCACCCCCTGCCCTGGGTCACCCCTGCTCTGCCTTCTCCCCTCCCCTGAACCCATTTCTGCCTCCTTTTCTCCTGGCAGTTCCAAGCTTTTGGGGTTTTTATTTGGGTTTTTAGGATTTTTTTTGTTTGTTTTTAGGGGTGTTTTTGAGGTATTTTAGGGGGTTGTTGTTGTTGTTGTTTTTTGGGGGGGGGTTGGGGTTTTTTAGGGTTTTTGTGTTTTTTTGGGTTTTTGTTGGTTTTTTTTGATGTTTAGGGTTTTTTATGGTTTTTAGAGTTTTTTTTCTAGGGTTTAGGGTTTTTTGGGTATTTTGGGGGTTGTGTTTAGGGTTTTTTAGGGATTTTTTGTGTTTTTAGGGGTTTTTTTGGGGTCTTTTGGGTTGTTTTTTTTTGTTTTGTAGGTTTTTTCTCGTTTTTGGGGGGTTTTTTGGGGAGTTTTTTTGGGTTGCTTTTTTTGGGTTTTTGTGGGGTTTTTTTCCTTTAATTTTGGTGGTTTTTTGGGGGGGAGGTGTTTGAGGGTATTTTTTTGAGTTTTTGGATTTTTTTTTGTTTTTGTTTTGTATTGGGGGCTGTTTTTTAGGGGGTTGAGGGTTTATTAAAATTTTTGGGGGGTTTTTGGGTTTTGGAGTTTATTGAGTTTGTTTTTTTTTTTTTAGTTTTTGGGGTTTTTTGGGGGGGTTGGGTTTTTTGAGGATTTTTGAGTTCTTTGGGGGTTTTGGATGTGTTTATTGGGTTTTTTGCGGGGGGTGGGGTTGTGGTTTTGGGCTTTTTTTGGGATTCCTGTGTTTTGGGTGTTTTTTAGGGTGTTTCTGGGGTCTCACCGGGGCTGTGCTGCTCCTGCAGGGCTTTGATGAGTACATGAACCTGGTGCTGGATGATGCTGAGGAAATTCACTCCAAAACCAAATCCAGGAAGCAGCTGGGTAGGGCAGGGGGGCTGGAGCTGGGGGGCCCTAAAATCCGGGGTGGGACCCTGAAATCCAGGGTGGGACCCTGAAATCCAGGACCCTAAAATCCAGGGTGGGACCCTGAAATCCAGGGTGGGACCCTGAAATCCAGGGTGGGACCCTGAAATCCAGGGTGGGACCCTAAAATCCAGGGTGGGACCTGGAATCCAGGGGTGGGGTCCTGAACCTGGATGTGGGACCTTAAATCCAGGCTGTGGGACTGGGATCCAGGTTTTGGGGCCAGGCTCCAGCTGTGGGACTGGGGCTAGGATCCAGGTTTTGGGATTGGGATCCAGCTGTGGGATTGGGATCCTGGTTTTAGGATTGGGATCCAGGCTGTGGGGCCGTGCTCCAGGCTGTGGGGCCGTGCTCCAGGCTTTGGGGCCGTGCTCCAGGCTGTGGGGCCGTGCTCCAGGCTTTGGGGCCGTGCTCCAGGCTGTGGGGCCGTGCTCCAGGCTTTGGGGCTGTGCTCCAGGCTGTGGGGCCGTGCTCCAGGCTTTGGGGCCCCCCAGGCGCCCCATCCCACTCCGTTGGTTGCAGGTCGGATCATGCTGAAGGGGGACAACATCACCCTCCTGCAGAGCGTCTCCAGTTAGGGACCAGGACAGCCCCGAGCTCCTGGGGATCCTGTTTTGTACTCGGGCTTTTGGGGAATAAAATGGGGTTTTTCACAAAAGCTGGCAGTGGGGTCCCAGGCTCGGGGTGGGGAAATGATCCCAGGGGTTTGCCCTGGGGGTTGGGTCTGGGGGCTCAAGTTTTCCCACACCAAGCCCTGTATCCCAAAAACAATTCCATCTTCCCCAGATCAATCCCATCTTTCTAAAATCCATCTGTTCTTCTCAGAAATAATCCTTAATTTCCCCAAACAAATCCCTTTATCCCATAACCAATCCCTTCTTCCCAAACCAAATCCCTTTTTCCTGAGACCAGTCCCTTCTTCCCCACAAAAAATCCCTTATTCTTAAAAATAATCTTTTTTTTTCCCCAAAACCAATATCATTATCCCAAAAAAATCCTTTTCCCAAACAAATCCCTTTTCCCAAAAAACTAATCTCTTTATGCCAAATTCATCTTCTTTTTTACCCCCCAAAATAAATATCTTTATCCCAAAATCAAATCCCTTTTTCCCAAGAAATCCCTTCCCATCCTCCCCCAGGGGATTTTTCCTTCCCAGCTGGAATTCCTTTCCCGAACCGCGGGAATTCTGCGGGAATTCTGCGGGAATTCTGCCTGGGGCATCCCAAATTCCTGCCAGAACGGGAAAAATCTTCCGGAGGGCTCCGGACAGAAGGGGGAGCTGCGGGCTCGGCTCTGCCCGGCCCCGACCCCGATCCCGGCCGGAATTCCGGGATCAGGAGGAGCAGCCGGAGCCGGGCCGGGATTCCCGGGGGTCTCCTCTTTTCCCGACCCTTTTCTGTCACCCCCGGAGCCGCTCGGTGTTGGGGGGCAGGGGGGGAGCCCCCATTTGGGGCAGTGACGGCAGCACGGAGGGGTTTGGGGACAGCTGGCCCCAAAATTCCGTTCGGGAGCCCCAAAATTGCGTTCGGGGCCCCAAAATTGCGTTCGGGGGCCCCAAAATTGCGTTCGGGGCCCGTCAGCCGCGAGCCCCGATCGGCAGCGGGGAGATAACGGGGGCGAGATAAGGGGACAGGAAACGGGGACAGCGACGGTGGCAGTGGCACCCTGCAGGTGTGCACATCACTCCCGGGGACCGGTGAAGGACCCGGGGCCGGGCTTGTGTCACCTCCGCCTGTGCCCGGCCACTGCCACCTCCCGGGGTTTGTGTCACCTCCCCGCGTCCCCAGCCGCTGTCACCTCCCCGTTTGTGTCACCTCCCCGTGTCCCCAGCCGCTGTCACCTCCCCGTTTGTGTGACCTGTCCCTGTCCCCAGCCGCTGTCACCTCCCCGGGCTGGCGGTGGAGACCCAGGCCCCCCCCAGGGTGGCCGGGTGACCCCCAGGGACAGTGTGGGGACAAAGCTCCGGAGGGGCTGAGCCCGAGCCTGGGGGCTCCTCAGCCCCGGGGCTGCGCTCGGGGGTTCGGGGGCTCCTCCAGCCGGGCCGGGGTCGCTCCGGGGCTGCATCCCCGGGGTGGTCGCAGCCCGGGCAGGGAGGGGCCGCGGCCGGGCTGAGTCCCGCGGGGGCAGCGTCCGCTTCTCGGCCAGCCCAGCACGGAGCGCTCCCGGGGCTCATCCCGGGGATCTTCCGGGGCTCATCCCGGGCCTCTCCTGGGGTTCATCCTGGGGCTGTCCCGGGGCTCATCCCGGAGCTCTCCTGGGGATCTTCTGGGGCTGTCCCGGGGCTCTCCCGGGCTCATCCCGGGGTTCATCCCAGAGCTCATCCCGCGCTCCCGGCCGCAGTTCCTCCTGCCTTTCCCGGCTGTTGACACAGCGAGGGTGTCCCTGGCCACAGCGGGTCCCTCCCCTGCTCCATCCATCCCTCGGGCTGCGGAGGGGCTGGAATTCCGCTCCCTCCCCTGCTCCTGGAACTCTGCTCCTTCCCCTGCTGCTGGAACTTTGCTCCTGGAATTCTGTTCCTTTACCTGCTCCTTCTTCCCTGCTCCTGAAATTCTGCTCCTTGTCCTTCCCTGCTCCTGGAATTCCGCTCCTTCCCCCTCCCCCAGCCGTTCCTCGGCCCCTCAGCTGAGTTTCCCAGCGGGATCAGCCCCGGGGATCCGGGCCGGGCCGTCCCTTCCCGGGCGCTCTTTGGCTTCCCGGGAGCCGAACCCCGCCGTGCCGGGGCAGCTCCGGGGCATCCCGGGGATGGAATATCGGGATATTGCCGGCCGGAGGCAGAGGCGGGTTTGTGCCTTCAGCCTGGAATGTGCAGGGATGAGGGATGGAGGATGAGCCCCCCGCTCTCAGCCCGTCCCCGGGGGTCTCCGGGAGGTCGCAGCCCCTCGGGCCGTGCCGTGCCGAGCCTTCCCAGGACGGTACAGCCGCGCCAGGGCCGGGCGTGGGGAAGGAACCGTCCCAGCCTCGCTGCTCCGCGGCGTCCCACACACGGAGCCGGCCCTGGGCTCCGCGGGGAGGGCGAACAATGGCATCCCCGGGGACAACAATGGCCCATTGTCCTCGGGAGCCCGAACAATGGGACAATGGCCCTCGGTGCGCTCCCCCCGCTCCCGGCACGCCCCCCCGGGAGCCGCGCTCGCCGCTCGCTGCCCCCGCTCCCGCTCCGTCCCTCGCTCCCGGGGTGAGTCTGGGGGGTCCCCGCGGCCTCTCCCGCTCGCGTGGGGTGTTCCTGGTGGACAGGAGGAGGTTTTCCCCTCGGATCGCCGGGGTTCGGGTGGCGGGGAGGGGATGGAAAAGTCCCGTCGGGTCAGGCGGGCCGTGCCCGGAGAACAGCGGGGCTTTGTTGTCTCCGGGGGTGGCCGCTCGTCAGCTCGGCCTGGAGGATTCCTGGGGAATCCGAGCCCTCCTCCTCCTCTTCCTCCTCTTCCTCCTCGCCGGCCCTGCAGCCGGCAGAGCGTGGGGGGCAGGGGGTGCCCCCCACCCTGCACGGGGCACCCGGGGAGCCTCTGAGCCGCTCCCCCGATGTCCCCAGGCCACCTCCAGCCCCCCTCGGGGCTCCCCGCGCTGTCCCCGCGGTCCCCGGGAGCAGCCGAGGGTGGCGGGTCCCAGCTGGGGACACCGCGGGGTGGCACGGGGGTGGCGGTGCCACCCTGGGAGGGCACGGCCGCGGGGCAGAGGCCGTGGAACCTCTCCTGGTGCCCCCAGGGGCTCCCAAAATCCGGGCGCGCTGCAATCCAGGGCTGGGGGAGCCGGGACTGGGCTCGGAGCCGCTCTGGGATGAGCCCAGCTGGCAGCGGGCCCGGTCACCTCCCCGGTGCCACCCCCGTGTCCCTGCCAGCATCCTGGCCGCCGCTCTGGGGCCACCTGGGGGCTCGTTTGTGCTTTTTTGGGGCGGGGATGGGGGACACGGGGACCTGGCTGTCCCCAAAGGCCACCAGCAGCCGTCAACTCCCTTCTCAGGCTTCCAGAACCCCCTAAAACCCCAAATCCCCCCCAAAATCCGCTCCTCCGGTACCTACGGGCACACAACCGCACCTGAATAGGGAATGAATGGAGTGAGAAAAGAGCCCGGAGCACTTTGTGCTCGCAGCGAGCGGGGAACAATCGCTAAATACAAATCAGCGAGAGAAAAGGCACAGAGAGAGAGAGAGAGAGAGAGGGAGACAAAAGCAAGAACGGCGGCACAAAGGAGAGGAATGAAATGGTAAAGTAAAGTCAAACAAAAAGGAGCCGGGCTGAGACAAAAGGAGGGAACAATATCCCCGAGGCAATGGGCTGCGGAACAATGGGGACAGTGACAGCGGCACAAAGACACACTGTTTGCGAGTAGACGTTATCTCACACAGCCACTGGCAGGCCTGGCCCCGGCGCTTCTATTTTCAGGGATGCTTTTGTGCCGCGCCGAACAATATTCCTTGCATGGCTGCAGATACAGAGATCAGGGCAGGCTTTTTTGGGGTTTTTTGGGGTTTTTTTTTTTAGCTTTCCCGGTGCCAGCTCTGCCGTAAAAACAGGTTCAGCCCTTTGGAGGACGCGGCAGAGCGAGCTGTGGGGGACGCGGTGACAATGCCAGGGGAGGGGGTGGCATCGGGAGGTGGCACCAGGCCGGGCCACGGAGCAGAGGGAGCCGAGGGGGCTTTGGGGTGGAGAGTCCGGGTTTTGGGGGAAAAATCCGGGGTTTCAGGATGGAAAATGTGGAATTTTAGGATGGACAGTCCGGGGTTTTGGAATGAACAATCTGGAGTTTTGGGATGGACCATCCGGGGTTTTGGGATGGACAGTCCAGGGTTTTAGGATAGAGAGTCCAGAGTTTTGGGATGGACAATCTGGAGTTTTAGGATGGAAAACCCGGGGTTTCAGGATGGACAATCTGGAATTTCAGGATGGACCATCCGGGGTTTTGGGATGGACAACCGCGGGTTTTAGGATGGACAATCTGGAGTTTTAGGCTGAACAATCTGGAGTTTTGGATGGACAATCTGGAGGTTTAGGATGGAAAACCCAGAGTTTTAGGATGGACAATCTGGAATTTTAGGATGGACAATCTGGAGTTTTGGGATGGGCAACCCGGAGTTTTGGGATGGGCACCCCGGGCTCGCAGTTTGCATTTGAAGGCACCGGGCAGACCTGCAGGATGGGTTTGGCGGCTCCTTTTGCTGGCAGCGCTCTGGTTTTTAACCCCTGCGGGCGCTGGCACGGCTGGCACGGCTCCCTGGCACCCCTCGGCCGCGCAGGACTCACCCGGGCCCGGTGACACTGGCGGTGGCACGGTTTGGGGGGGACAACGTGCAGGGCATGGCTGGGCCGTGCCGGAGCAGGAGGGGCCAGGATGTCCCCGAGGATGTCCCCGGGGATGTCCCCAGGGATGTCCTGCTCAGGTTTTGGCACTCCTGGAGCCACAGCTCCCGTTTTTCCAGTGGGATTGGGGCTGGCAGGAGCTGTTTGGGGCTGCCCTGTGCCCTCCTGCTGTGCCCATTCCCTGGAATTCCTCACCCACGGGGAGCTCCGGCTGTGCCCACGCTGATCTGTGGGATCACAGAGGTGTCACCCCAAAAAATCCCCTTCTGGAACTTTCCCAGCTGTCCCCCAGTGCCTGGCTCACCCCGGGAATCACTGTTAACCCCCAGCAGTTTTGGGGTGTATTAGCATCACCCCTGATCCATCCCAATCCCTCCTTTAGGACATCCCACAAAACCTGCAGCTCCTGGCACCCTCCTGCCCTCTCCCCCTCCAAAATCCGCCCCCTCCTCCCTCCCCAACCCCTCCAAAACCCCGAGGACGTCACCGAAAACCCGCGGGGACAGGAAAAATCGGGGTGCCAGAAGCCGGGGCCGCCCCTATCGGGGCGCGATCTGCTGCTCGAGCAGCCGGGCTCGGCTGTGCCCCGAGAGCAGCGGCGCTTTCTGATATCGATCACCTTATCTGGGGGCGCATCCTGTTGCTATTTTCGCTGTTTCCTCCCCTCGGCAGCTGGGGAGCGGCGCCAGCTGCTCGAAACTGCGGCCCGGGGGGGTTTGGGGTGCCTGAAAAAAGACCCCGAGCCCGCTGCGGGGCGATGCCAGCCTCGGCGGTGCCACCGTGCCCTCGCTGCCCGCTGCCGGCACA